TGCACCTTTTGAGTTGGACAATCTTGGAAAGATGGGGAATAACATTCTGGCATATGATGAAAAGGATGCATTGGGCAAAAAAGGTTGAGAGTCACTGCAATGGGTACTAAAAGGTTAAGTAATATAAGGTACTTTTAGCAAACAGAAAAACTTTTTGCTTATAAAATGACAGTTGTCATCTAGAAATAAAAAGAGATTTAAAGATCAAATAAAATGATGACTGCAATATTTAGAATTTTGAAAAAGTATCACAGACAGGATTATCAAGGAAATGTTGGCCAATTGCAGAATTCAAAATCTAGATATGTGTCCATATGATAATTTAATCTTTTAAATCTACCAATGAATCTCTTTAGGAAAAGATTTTTTTTTTAATCAAGTTCACCCCATGCAAGGCAGTAAAGCCACTAAGACACAAAGAAAGGGGTTACTGGGTGTGGAAGAATTAAAAAAAAAAAAAATACTAAGAAGTGAGGACAAAAGAAGAATAATCAGAACAATAGATAGCAATTGACATTGCATTTAAATTTTTGAAGATTAAAGTTCGTTAGAAAGCATCGAGCTGGAAGGGAGTTCCACAAATGAGATGTGTGAGAAAAAAAACTGTTAGCATAAAATTTATGGTTACAGTTAACCAACTCAACTGTAAATTGCTGAGATCTCACTGCCAGTCTAATACTGCACTTAAATTCATAAATCTAGGTACCATAGCAAAAAGCTCATCAGAACAATTACCATGAAAATATTTATAGAAAATGTACAGGGAGGCAACTTTACAGTAGAGAGAAAAGAACTGAAGCTGAGATGCCAGATCAGGACCAAGAATATTACTGATTCTTTGGATTTTATCAAAGAGCTCTAGATAAATAGCAGAAGCATCAGATCATATATGTTGATCTAAAAAGCTGACTACTCAAGAGGACTTACACCACAGTTTTCATTTTATTTATATAATTTCTATTATAATGTTGGCAGTGTTTAACCTTTGTGTCCACAAAAGTGGTGTTTCAAAAAGACAGGATTTCCCCTGATACTGCTATTAATATATACTTAATATATACACTTTTCAGTGTTTATTTAGAAGAAAAAAAATATATGAACCAAGTACAATGCAACATTTATGATTTAACTTTTATAAAGATTTATAAGAAATCTTTTTATTGAAAAATTTTATAAAAAATTACAAAATTATCAAAATATACAAGAGAAACAGATACTCTCAATCTATTTTAATCAATTTATGTGTCAAAAGCAAATGAAAGAAAGACTTGGAAAATGCTTTTTTTTTTTAAATTTATTATTACAGTTGTCCATCATAATCAGGTCAAAAGAATAACCATCCTTCTGACACAGCATTTTTTTCGAGCATGAAAATTAAATATTAACATAATGTCTACATGTAATAAATGTACAACTATTGTAATTCATTATAACAAACCCACAATGAAAAAAAAAATAAATGGGAGACTGAATAATGGAATTTGTTTTCCTGCCTTTTCACAATAACTGAAGCGAAAAATGTGTTTTTAAACTTTTCTCTCTTTTTTTTTTTTTTCAAAAATTTACAGTGCTTGTGGGTGTAATATATACAGTCTGTCTGTGGATGACAATACATATGCTCCTGAAAATTTTATTTTCAGTTGAGCTCTTAAGGGAGGAAGTATGAGTTTGTAACTGACTATTACTGCTAATAATGCAAGACTCTTCAATAAATCAAATTGAATTCTCTCAGTCACTGTGTGTTTATCTAAAAATAAATATGCTTAAATTCACTTTCATCCCTGCTGTGTGCCAATTCAGCTGGACATCTAGTGACACTGATGAGCTGTGAAACAGTAAAACAGTGTGTGTGTGTGTGTGTATATATATATATATATATATATATATATATATATATATATATATATATATATATATATATATATATATATATATATATATATATATTATGAGTGTGGCTGAGTGGTTAGAACATTTGTTTTTTTGACCATGAGATTCTGGTTCAAATCTCACCATGGTTGCTTTCTCAGGAAGGAGACTTCCTGATGCAGTCAGTCTGGAAGGAGGGATTCCAGCTTGTGGTACCTTTGAAAGGGCCTGAAAAACAAGCCACAGGTTGACCTAAGCCTTGTAAGTGAAATTGGGTAAACGGAATCCTGAGGTGCTGCCAATGGCTGTGCTAGCAGGAAGTTACAAGCCATTGTAACCGAGGGTTTCAGAGTGCTGGCCATTTTCAGATTGCTGATCATGCTAGATAACATGCTCTCTCCCAGAAACTGTAACTAAGGTCTGCTCAGCATAGTTGCAATATAAACCACAGGTAGGCTCTGTGGGTATTGAATAAACACAACTGCACCTGAGCAAGCATCAGCAATAGAGATTGGCTGGCCGCCCTAATAGACAGGTATCCTTGAATACAAGTGGCCAGCTATTTTATATATATATATATATATATATATATATTTACTGCCAAGTTACGCATTGTCTTTAAGACTTGCCCTATTTTTCCTTCCTTTGTAAAGGACCATTTGTCTTATCTCAATAAAAGTTCTGTTATTCATAAATTCAAATGTCAGTGTGCAGCTGAATATATATAGAATGAACATGTTTAAGGCTGGAAACTCAGTTGGGTCAACACGTACCTGCATTTATTAGATTTAATTATCATAATTACACTCATGTTCCACAATCTGCACATGAATCTGTGATTAGACAACACCTTTTGGAGCTATGATCTTGTAAAATTTCTATCAACTCATTCTCTGTTTTACATAATGCTTGTTCCAAACACCATTTCCAAGTGTTGGAAGCTGTATGTATTAAATTACAGCAAACTGTAAGCAGAAGGAGAATTTTCTTCAGTCACATCATTTATTTGGAGGATTGTGTGTATTAAATTTCTTTCATATTTTACACTTAAGCTGGAGTATTTACAACTTTTGAATTTACATATATTTTAATCATTAATTTACATGTTTTAGATGCACTCCAAATCTTCCTCCATATTACTTATCTATTCATACCAATTTTGATACAATAAATTTGCCAATGATGCTCCCTGAAGAAGTCTTGGCTGAATGTACACTAAACACTGTTTGTTCAAAACAATATATATATTTTGATGATGACTGAAGAACTCGTCGAAAGTACTTGCATATTTAAGGAAGACCTAATATAGTTTATAATCTTTAAAACCAAGGATCATAACATTCATTGAGTGGTTAGTGGGTTAATGCATTTTTAAAATTTAGTTAGCAAAGTGAATTTGCCATATATACATATATATAGGTAAAAATCCATGGTAAGTAATCCAAGTGAATCCTAGTAATATAAAATATTGAAATTTAACCACAGAAGAGAGCTCAATATATTTATTATAGAGCATATATGAATTACAAGTAGATAAAATGTGATACCCAGTATGATATATGGCCATTTCACCCAGAATGGGCTTGTCAACACCAAGGAGTTAGATAAAAAAAATGAATCATAATGTTTTTGTAAATAGGAAGAAAGAGGGAAATTGACAACTAAGAGCAAATGTATTTAAAATGTGAGGGGGAAGAGAAAGATAAAGAGAGAAAAAAGAGAAAATAAATTTGGGAGCAGGACAGAGTAAATGATTAAAGGAGAGAAATTAAGATGAAAAAAATTTTCAAATTCATCTCCCATGTCTAGAGGAATTTGAAAAGCACTCCAACATACAGAACATTTGGACAATTTCTATATACTTTATGTCCAGAAAAGAAAAATTACATAAAAAAAACATAACTTCAGTACCTTGTCAGTCATTTTTAATGAAACGTTTCACATATATTATATATATGTATGTATGTGAAAGAAGACAAAAGGGAAACTTAGCTGACATGTTTCGTCCTCTTTATTTGTGGCAAGTATTTATATACAAAAGCAAAAATGTTTTTTTTTTGCAAAATTTTTGGTATAGGGGTGCTTATAAATATTCATCAGGTTGGTGAAAAAGGTAAGTTCATGGACATGGGGTGATACAGTTCCCTAGACAACAAAACATGCCAGCTAAGTTTTCCTTCTGTCTCTTATATTGTCCTTTTACAGATATAATTGATCTGAAATTTTTACACACATGCATACACATTATATGTGTGTGTGTGTATTACTGAAGTTTTGGGAATAAAGAGTTTTGGAAACCTTCGATTACTCTTCTGACAAAGAAAAAAAACCCATTTGGTTTTGCATGATAAATTTATGAAATACCAAATAAATTTCTGTTGTTTTTTTGTCATTCATAACATCTTACATTAAATCTTTTGGGTGTAATTTGTTTGGGAGTTTAACAGAGGATTCATCAAAAATGGATAGTCCATATAACTAGAAGGCAACATAATGATACAATCAAGCTGTTAACTTTGCACATGACTGATAACATCAGAGTTTAGAAGGAAACTCAAATCATTAATAGAAAAAACTATAACAGTTAGTGGACATGAGAAGCCTAATTTTATGAAAAACTGTTCTAGAAAAAATATTTTATAAATTAAATTTCAACCAACAATCATAATGTTTGGTCAATGGATGCCAAATGGAAACAACTAATTTTTACCATTACCATAGTAATATACTGAAAATTATTTTACTATAAGAATGTATTGTAAATGGTTTTACTATATATATATAGTTGAGCTGTTAACTTTTCACACTACCAAAAACAAAACATTTGGAAGGAAACTTCCATCAGTACATGAAAGAACTAGTTATAGAACATCAGAAGTCTAATTACCTGACAAACTGTTTTAATAAAAAGAATTTATAGATTTCAATTTGGTCAATAAATGCAAAATGTTTCTTGAATGGAAACGGCTAATTCTATCATTGTACTTCAAATGTAATGGATTTGTTTCTTTTTCTTTAATTTATTGCTAAATTTCTTATTTTTTTTTATGATCCTCCTCCATATTGAAAAGATAATATCACTTTGTCACTATTTTCTTGTAAAGCAAAAGGAAAATTGAAAATAAAATTACCCTTACAAATTTGTTGAATGGCACAAACTGAACAATATCTCTTTGGGAAATTTTGCCTGATTTACTTGTCAAGACTCCATCATCTCCATCAAGGAAATCCATATTTTTGAAGTCAGCATTTCCTATTCCAACAATTATGAGAGACATTGGTAAGCGTGATGCTTCGACAATAGCCTCCACAGTCTCTGCCATGTCAGTGACAACACCATCAGTTAACAGCAGCAAAATAAAATAAGCCTGCAACATGAATAATAGGTGAAAATGAGATTAAAATACTATAGCAAATGTTCAGCACACTTTTGACCCAAACTGATCAAGCAGTGTAATTTAATTATTAAAACAACAACCTCAGAAGATAAGGAAAAAGTCTACTGGCAGAAATTTTATGTAAATTTTTGGTGACATTAATCATGACAATGTTATACATACAGAAAAATCACAAATACAAGAGGGTAGGTTGACCGTAATTTTTTATAAATCTGCTGTTAGTTGGTATACTTTTGTGATAACATAAGAACTTATTTAAAATAAGTCTAAGCTAAGCTTCTAGCTTCTTTGGAATATAAGGGTATAGTATTAAAAAAAAAAATTACTTGTCAAAAAATTTTTATAAGACATCACTTTTTATAAATTCTTCTACAAGTACTTTAATATAGCAGTTCTTGGTTTGGTTTGGTTTACAGCATATCAACCTCAATGAGTTATTTAATGCTGACAAAATTTTTATTGCTGGTAATTTTTTTTTCAAAAATGTGTTGCTAGTTGTATTTTTTCCTTCAAAAGAAATCTATTTCTGGTAATATTTTTAAAAATATATAGCTGATAATATTTTTTTTTCAAAAGTGTATTGCTGGTAATATTATTTTTACAAAGTATTTCTGGTATAAAAAAATATATTTTTACACTTTCATAGTGTTTCAACCCCAGTTTGGGGGTCAACTATTTGCCCATAGCTGGGACCCTAACAGGTGCTGCCACCTCAAGTCAGGGTGGACCTGGGAACACTAACAATTAAGAGGTGGTTCCATGCTTCTCAAAACCTCTTGATCAGAGGCCTTGCTGTTGGACGTAGATTATTGTCTTACCCAGAACATGGATGTAATTTATTGTCATACCCTGGATGTAGCAGTTCTTTGATACTGGAATCATTCATCCTTTATTGTAAAGACAATAACACTGCTTCTTATAATGCTACTAGATTGGCAACTAGGTTTCACTGTTATACTCTTGAATTAGCTCGATGCAACCATCTCTTCTATTCTAACAGTTTCTTTTCTCTCACTTCTTGCCTGTGGAACTTCCTTCTGATTTCTTGCTTCCCTGCTACCTGCAATCTTCAAAAATTTAAATGTAATATCAATTACCATCTTCTGTCTTCCTGAACTCTGGGTTTTTTTTCTTTTTGTCCTTACCTCACTTCTCCTCACTAAATTCTTTTCATTCTTTTTCACTCCCTGTGACCCTCTGCATCCTAGAGGCATTGCTTGGGGTGAAATGATTAAAAAAAAAAAAAAAAAATGAAATTGGTGATAGTCAGGTAATCAATAAAGGACTCTCAGGCCTGCAAACAAAATTGGTCTCTAAGCTTGCTCTCCAACACCTTCACTAGGTCACTAATCTGCAAATGGATTTCTTAAGCTGCTGAAAATATTCAACTGAATAACTTTTTTTCAGGAAGTATTTTTCAAAGGGTGGTGATGTCAAATGACAGTGATTTCTTTGTCAATCAGATTAAAAACTTTCAAGGGCCAAGATCATACTGCTTATATTGAGGCAATCTGGTGTGGTTAATTTGATTGATTATCAAAAATCCCAAATCTATCATTTTTCAAACTTTTCCAAATTTGGTCTGTTCAAAGGTCCCTCCAGGTTCTCATGTTTCTATTGGCTGAAAAACCTCAAACTACCATTCTTATGGTGGATTGGCATGGATTATGTCAACTAGATCTTCTTTGAGCCATCAACATTATCTGATCATTTTATAATTTCCTGAGCATCCATTTTGCTATCCATCCATACAATTTCAAACCTCTGCATTGTAACATTATTTTAGTATGTTAAGTAACATCTAATAAGAATATAAGACAAAATCATTTTATATGCAAAATTATTATTTATTCACTTTTGGACTTCTAATGTCAATGATGATAACATGTGATTTCTGCTGTTTTTTTTTGATGGTGGGAGATTTTTGTTAAAAGCATTCATTTTTCATATGACAAGCTCTACTGCCCCCACTCCTTGCATGTTAAACATTTATATAACTTCCAGTCAACAGGTTGTCTTGTGTGTTTATATCCTAAGTTCAACTGGGTTGATATCCTGTTTTATACCAGTGCAGCCACCAGCATTCTTTTGTGCCAGATTCTATACTTGGTGGCTATGAGATCACCATCTAGGTCAACCCTCTGATATACCCAGCTCTTTTGATGTTATAATGTGACAACAAGTACAAATCTTAGCTTGGCATCTCTTAGAGTCAGCCCAGTACATATTGGGGTCACCACAGATCAATTCCTCTTAGCTCAAATATTCCTGATTGACATTGAATTCAATTCAGACCTCTGGTATTTCCTGATGCAAATCATATACTACAGATTTTCTTTTTTCACATGATGTATTTTCCCCATTTTATGGATGAAAGCATTGCTCAATGAAGAGCAGTCCATCATTTCATTCACAAATAGATCTATGTCCAATTTTACTTTTGCTTTCCCCTGTGAACTTCTCAATGTTATCAAGTAGCACCTTGGGACTGTTTCTATGCTTGTCTTTATGATGAAAATTTTAATCTTACATTTCTCATAATATGAGACCCACTAAAAAAATGTCATCAATACTTTTTTGGAATTGGTTCTGTTTTCTTTAGGCTGACATATTTTTTTCTTTGAGTGTCTCGACTTTGGTAAACATCTAGACTCCTGGTTACTTTCTTATCAACACTTTATTTTCTGATCAAATTTCATTTCCTCTGGTTATATTTTTCTTTCTAGTTCAAAACGGCAAATTTCAGTCTCAGTAGAAAATCAGACCCCAAAGTATTTTCCAGTAGACTAGTAGCATCTAAATAACTGTTATTAAGGCTTTTGAAATGACCCATCAAATTAACCCTATTCCATCTGGCCACCAAGTGGAGATTCACTTACTTGTTAAATCCAAACCAGTAACAGTATTATTTCATAAGCATATAAATCGTGCACACATTATATATAAGTATGTTTTAAAATTAGGATATATAATCCCAACAATGTTTTTTTTTTTAAATATTTGACAATTGGAAAACATTCATGAAAGTAGATTTGTTTTGAAATATAACTGAAAATTTCATCTCGCCATTTAAGGTTTCATCAGATCCAAAAACTAATAAAAAGAGATGTGTGCATGTGTATTTGTGTATATGTTTAAATAATGGAATCTTATTTTTTCCCCAAGTCGGTGTGTTTCTCGTGACTAAAAAAAGAAAGAAAATGTGTGATTTTTAAAAAGTTGTTAACATTTATTTTCTTTACTTTCAGTTTTTGAGTTGAAAAATATAATACTTCAGAATAGGTAGAAAGTAAAAGATTTTTTTTAATCCATGCATTTTTGATTTGACAGTAGGTTTTGATATTAGGATATATGATTATTATTTTTTCCAAAGCTCTATAAGATTTTTTATTATATTCAAATGTCATTTTTTTGGCTTTTAGATCTGATGAAGCCTTAAATGGTGAAATGAATTATCGGATATATTTTGAAACAAATCTACTTTCATGAACGTTTTCCAGTTGTCAAAAATATATATTGAACTTAGCTTAATAGAGTACAAGCAGCACCAAGCAAGTACTGCAATATATTGCAGTATGCCTAAATTATGCAAAACTCAAAATAACACTAACATTTCATTTTAACAGATATATTGACAAAATTACACAAAAATATCTTAAAATACTAAAAGACTAAATTTATTCAATAAAATCACCATTGGCTTCAACCATGGCCTCTAGACGAGTTTAGAATCTCCTGTATCTGCTCTGGATGGTCTCCTTGTTTAAGTTGGTGAATGCTACCATAATCTTTCCCTTCAGTTCATCTTTGGTATTACCAGGTGTTTTGGTGCTTTCTTACTCAACTGCATACCACACGTAATAATCAAGGGGTTGCAAATCTGGAGAGTTAGGCGACCAGATATAAGGGGTGATGTGGTCACAGAAATTGTCTGACAGCAATGACTAGGTTCTCCTGCTTGTTTAGCACAGTGCAGAGTCCTAGGGCCAGATATAGGACATTCCAGTAGCTACCCTCTTGACCCAGGACAGCAATACCTCCTCAAGGCACTTGATGTAGGCATCTGTGTTGAGTCTGAGGTCCTATGGGGAGATGAATGGCAGCATAACGTTACCATCACTAGTGATCACTCCATTAGATGCATCTGACTCTTTCCAAATTCTCAGCATTGTCTTCAGATTGACACCCAAACACACTGAAATGTTTGTATTGGAGCTTTCAGCATGAATGCCAAGCAGTGCAGCATGCCGTTTCCAAATTTCTGGCAGAGTGAATTGCATCATGGTGCTCTTTTTCTCATAGACGGTGCCCAACTGACCCAATTATAATGTGCACTTGACAAAATCGAAAACAAACAACCTGTGTGTGTGTGAAATTAAAAATATATAATATGGCGACAATTTACCCATTGTGTCCTATGTATATAAAATTAATTAATAAAAGTTCAAAAGACTTATCTTCCACCTTCAACTTTTACAGATACACCCCTTATCAGGTAAAGATAAACCTATTGAATTAATTAACAGTAAGTATAGATAAAAATATAGAAGGAATTGGATTTTTCAATATGAAGAATTGTTTACTTTAATAGTGGCAATTGAAATCCAAAGTTTTTTCTAGTATACACATTAATTCACTCCAAGTAAAATAATATTTGTTAAAATTATTTTTTGTTTTCCTCTTTTTCACTTCTTTGCTCCTGGCCAATAAACAAGCTAATTACAGTCATGGAGACTAATTTAATTTTCTTGTTCATGAAAAAAAAATTATGAATTATTTCACTTACGGCAGCCCCTTTTGTAGATTCCTCAGCTTGAGCAGTTTGTGCAAATCTGGCTACATGATGTATGATGGGTGCAATATTGGTAGGGCCCCATAGTTGCACCTGGCGGATGCAGTTCTGGTAGGCTTCTAAAATTCCAGTTACACCTAAAGCAATAAAAGAATCCATCAAAATCGTATTAAAAATAATTTTGTTCTGGAAAAGGCAGTAAGATTTTAAAATGTATTCTAAATAATATTATCATTTCATGAGGCTTCATTGTTAATTACATATAAATTTACAATAGAAGAAAAAAAGAATTTCAAGGAATTGTCCTGTTATTTTAAGTCTTGTGAAATGTCTGACATAAAAAGAAAGAGCTTGTAACTAATTCAATTAAAATCAGGAAATTGTAAACTTTAATTTTTTTAGTATAGAAACAGTAATTAAATCTGGTAAATGTATCCATTACCTCCAAATTTAAAATCTACAACCGTTTCCATGAGATTTTAGTGCTAAATTCTCTTGTTTTGATAAACAATAGATAGGTAGGCCTTGGGCAAATTTACATGACATTCAAACAGGTAGACCAGTAGTTCTCAACCTTTTGTTTACTCATGGACCACCTTTACTCTTAATTATTTTTTGGTAGACCCTCATAACCATTTGATAAAAAACAAAAAAAATAAAAACAAGAAGCCTATTTTATTTTTTATTAATAGATAAGTTTAGGAATTGTATTATAGAAATAGTAAATGTATAGGCTTTATTTTGAAGTGAAACTAATTTAATGAAATTAAACTTGTATTTAACAACTAAATTCTATGAAACATTTATGTAGACTAGTAGAATAACTCATAATAAACAGTTTTAAAATTTACAGTTAAAACATCTGGTAGAGTAAAAGGTACACTAACTTACATTGCTTGATCTAGTTTTAGAGTTGTTTTCCTATTTTTAGTATTTTTATATGGCATAGTTTACTGTAGAAATTCCAATTCTCAGTTATAAAAACCGTTCCAAAGTGAAATTGTTCTATGGATTGCTAAAATATTACTGTGGACCCCTAATTTGTTATTTTTTGTTTAGAGATCATAAAGTTTTGAAATTGGTTTAGGCATCTCAGAGAAGCACATGTATATGCACATTTATGAAAACACAGGATTGATTCCGAGTTGATGCTATACATGAGGATGGTGATAATAATGTTCTAATTCTAGTACTACTACTATAAAGACTATTACAGTACAAGAGATATGAAAAGGAATTTATTTGCTCTTATTTTTGAGATGAAGTCATAGTTTCATTTTCTGATTCACAAAGATTATTGAGAGAAAATAAGGATGTAATGAAAATGTATTTATAAGTAAAATCACAATTTAAGGAATATATATCTCAATCATGCCATCCTATTTGGGAGTTGTGAAAGACAGAGGGGTGGCATTTTTTGGCCCACTAACTTTAAAAATTGTTATAAACACAAATATAGTAAGCATGAGAGAACAAACAAAACAATTACTATCAGTGAGGTGAAAAAAAAAAAAAAAAGAGGTAAGAATTGTTAATATAAAATTCAGAGGTTGTGAGTGTAATGTCTCTTTGTGGGAAAGGAAAGTGACTTGGAGGAAGAGAAGAGTTGGTAGTGCCTGGAGTTGATGTGTGTGTTGGGTAGGTTGACCAAGGTCATGGTTGATGTTGAGAGAGGCTAGTTGTGGATTAGTTGAAACTTGTCCATTTGTTGCAAATCCATGGCAATCGTAAAAGCAAATATGGTGGCTCATAAACTCATCTTTTGTTTCATGTTTTTTCTTTGATAGCAACATTCCTAATCAGCTTCTTTTATATTGCTTTTTATATTTTTTTGAGGGGATTTGTTTTGTGGGTAGGATGCAATGATTAGAGGACGACATTTTATTTCAGGTTTTGCTTTCTTAGCATTCACATATAACCAACATATAGAGTGAATCAGAAAGAGATCTGATTTGAAGCAGAGTATAACAAAATGCTATCAGTCAGTTAATGGCCACTTGTGATACAAACACGAGCAATAATGTCTCTTTCAATTCATGACTGACTAGGAAGATTTTCCTGCAGTAGGCTGCTGTTTCATTCTATGGTAGACTGGTTGCCAATCAAGGCTATAGTATCCAGTCTGTCCTGCTATTCAACCCATAGCTGGAGATGGGAGAGATGGATCTACACCTTTCAGAAGAGGATTTGTGTCTAAGTGAATATAACAAAACCAATTGGAACTTAGTCCTCTGATTTCTCATTCTGAGCCATTATCCATTACATCACACCATAAAATGCTATAGGGCTCCAACTAATGGCTTAAATTGTTTGAAACTTTTCCAGATTATTCTTTTATCTTAAATTTTCATTGGGTCTGAAACTAGTGACATCAAATATGAGAGTTTAAAAAGCAAATAAGCCAAATGCTTTAATGCAGTCACTTCATTTACAATGCAAAGAATTTGCTTGACTTTGATCGATTTCTTTAATGGCATGTCAACTCCTTATGGCTCATTTAATGCAGGAATCTAATTTTCTTGGAAGCTTTGAAGTAATAAAAAGTATGTTATTCTACTTTCACAATTGAATACATGGTAGATGATACTCAGATTTTGTGCATATACATATTTGTTGGTTGGTTAATTCATTGATTTTGTTTTGCAGCATATCAAACTATGGGTTATTTAATGCTGAAATCTTAATATTTTGAACATAATTTTATACTTTCAGAGTGAAAGGTATATTTTTTTAAATATATAGTTTGTAGATCATAAAATGTATTGGTGGTAATTTAAAAAAAAAAAAAAAAACGATTTGTTGGTAATTTTGCTATAAAAGTGAACTATTGATTTGTGGTTGGGTGTTCACTATTTTTCCATAGCTGGGATCCTAACAGGTGCTACCACCCTGGGTCAGGGTAGAGCTGGAAACAACAGCAATTAAAAGGTGGTTCTACACTCCTCAAAACCTCCAATCTCTTGATCAGATGCCTTGCTGCTGGATGTAGTTTATCATCATACCCAGGACAAACAATGCAAAGAATGAAATATGTATGTACTGAAAGTAACTGTATTGGAAAGCTAATGTAAGATTATCTGTAATTTTCTAAGAAATTGTCATGCCTGCAAAAGTATGCGGATTCCTGCAATTATGAAACAAAGGGAGTATTCCCTATATTCACAATTACCTTTTCATGAGAGTATCTGGAGTATCAACTCATTACTCCAAACACAAAAGGAGTAGTATCAATTGAAAGTTGTGGGCGGACAAAAAAGCACCCCCTCTTGCTTGGGATAGGGTTAAGTAGAAATACAACAGGAAAAATCTGTTTGCATGTTGTCAATGAGAATTATGAAATTTAAAATAGCCTCATCTAATTTAGTGATTTCATTTAAGAAAGGAAGATATGATTTATTATATAATACATGCTCATAGGGGGAGATAGCTTGATTGCATATAATTTCAAAAAGGTTAGAAAAGAAACTCCCATCAATACGAGAAGAGCGTTCACATTTAGTGAACCTTGAGAAGCCTATTTTCGTGAAAAACAGAAAAATGTTTTAAAGGACAGTAACACTAATTTTCCTGTCAATGAATACCACTTGTTTATGTATAGAAATGGCTGATCTCAGCATTACTATAGTCCTGTAGAATTTGACTAATAATATGCCTAACTGAAAAAAAAAAAATTAAAGAAATTGACATCTTTATACACTATTTACATGTTCAGACTGTTGTTCTCATCTTTATTACCATGTTCACAATGTTTCGGCTGTTGTACTCTTTGATCTTCTTCATCAGTTCAAAATTCCAATAATATCACCTGAAGAAGGCCAGAGCATACAACAGCTGAAACATTGTGGTTTGGTTTGGCTTTTGTTTTACAGCATATCAACCTCAATGGGTTATTTAATGCTGTCAAGATTTATATTGCTGCTAATATTTTTTTCAAAAATGTATTGCTAGTAATATTTTTTTTCTTTCAGATATGTATTGCTGGTAATAATGTATTCCTGATAATAATTATTTACAAAAATGTATTGCTAGTAATATTTTTTTTCTTTCAAATATATATTGCTGGTAATAAAACCTATTTTTATACTTTCATAGTGTTTTGACCCCAGTGTAGTGGTTAAGTATTTGCCCATAATTGGGACCCTAACAGGTGCTACCACTCCAGGTCAGGGTAGACCTGGGAACACCAGCAATTAAGAGGTGGTTCTACATGCCTCAAAACCTCATGATCAGAGGCCTTGCTGTTGGGTGTAGTTTATCATCTTACCCAGGACTCTGAAACATTGTGGATATGGAAATAAAGATGAAGACAACAGTCCAAACATTGCAAATAGTTACAATATCTCATCTTAGAAATATAGACAGATGTTGACATCTTTATATTCAGAATTTCATGGGCTTTTTAAATGGTGCAAGTTGCTAATCCAGATTTGTTGGGCCAAAAATGGTTATACAGCAATATATAAAGCATATTATCTTTGCTAGAATAGCAAAGTTTTAATTAGAAACACTCTCATATTTACATCTTTTAAAGTCATCTATCATTCAATGAATGGACCCAAATAAAAATAATTGTGGTTTTTGAAGCTATAAAAATGATTTCAGAGAGAAATATTTTAACTAGAAGAGACATTCTAGAAAAACACAAACCTCTAAAGTCTATAGTCTACTTTCTGTGGAATTTATGCACTGACCAATCAAAACAATGCTAATTTCAATATTAGCCCTATGAGTTCCATCAATAAAAATCCTTCCATTATTTAAATGTAATGATACCTCTATGTTAATGTCATAAGTGCAACCTAGAATGTGTATTTGATGCAGTTTTCATGGAACCTTGAGCAGTACAAAATCCTGGTCAAGCCATGTTGCTGTTTTCAGGATAGAATTTAAAATTTAACACACTGGAATATCAATAATAGGAATTTGAAATAAACAAAAAAAAAAAAAAAAAAAAAAAAAAACAGTGTTTGATACATGGAGAATTATGAAGGTTAGAATATGTCTTTACAGTTTAAGTATTTCCTTCCAAAATACAAAATATGCTTATTATAAAATTAATTTAAAATCATCCGTATAGTCCCATTTTCAGACCATTCATTGAATTATAGACACTTTTAAAAATATTTCAACATAAGAATATTCTAACTAAAACAAACATTTTTGCTATTCTAGTAAAAATAAATATATTTTGTGTTATGTTTGTTTTGGGTCAAAAGAATTGTCAGTTTTTAAATAACAAAACCTGGCTTTTTGAAGCAATTACTGTACAGAAAGAGGTTACACCCATTCTTGTTGATAGGGGCCTAATTTCCATAATCACAGCCATAATTTGGGAATTACTAAATTGTTAACTGATGTCAAAGTAAGAAATTTGGAGGATCAAATGAAATTGGAATCTCATTTTGATTATGGCAGTATTTAGAAGCCAATACCTCAAGAGATGGCTTCTCTCTCAAAGAGTAAATAAAAAGAATGGGAGGTGGGTACTTAGATGTTAATTTAATCTTAGCTGTGAAAGAATGAGTGGGTGGGGGAATAAAAATAAAAGCAGTGAAAGTGGGGGAGGAAATAATTGTAATTAATGAGAATGAAAGAGTTGGAGAATATGGAGAGAAGGAGAAAAAGAGTGAGAAGACTGAGTGAGTGAGAAAGACTGAAAAGATTTGGTGAGCAAGTGAGAATGAGTGAAAAGATTATCGAGAGAGCGTGAAAGAAGACTATCGAGAGAGAGTGAGTGAGTAGTGGAAGAGAGAGAGAGAGCGTTTGAGAAGACCATCGAGAGAGAGAGAGCGTTTGAGAAGACCATCGAGAGAGAGAGAGAGAGAGCGTTTGAGAAGACCATCGAGAGAGAGAGAGAGAGAGCGTTTGAGAAGACCATCGAGAGAGAGAGAGAGCGTTTGAGAAGACCATCGAGAGAGAGAGAGAGCGTTTGAGAAGACCATCGAGAGAGAGAGAGAGAGCGTTTGAAGACCATCGAGAGAGAGAGAGAGCGCTTGAGAAGACCATCGAGAGAGAGAGAGAGCGTTGAGAAGACCATCGAGAGAGAGAGAGAGCGCTTTGAGAAGACCATCGAGAGAGAGAGAGCGCTTGAGAAGACCATTTGAGAGAGAGCGCTTGAGAAGACCATCGAGAGAGAGAGAGAGAGCGCTTGAGAAGACCATCGAGAGAGAGAGATAGAGAGCGCTTGAGAAGACCATCGAGAGAGAGAGTGAGAGCGCTTGAGAAGACCATCGAGAGAGAGAGAGAGAGCGCTTGAGAAGACCATCGAGAGAGAGAGAGAGAGCGTTTGAGAAGACCATCGAGAGAGAGAGCGCTTGAGAAGACCATCGAGAGAGAGAGAGCGCTTGAGAAGACCATCGAGAGAGAGAGAGAGAGAGCTTTGAGAAGACCATCGAGAGAGAGAGAGAGAGAGCGCTTGAGAAGACCATCGAGAGAGAGAGAGAGAGAGCGCTTGAGAAGACCATCGAGAGAGAGAGAGCGTTGAGAAGACCATCAAGAGAGAGAGAGAGAGAGCTTGAGAAGACCATCAGAGAGAGAGAGAGCGCTTGAGAAGACCATCGAGAGAGAGAGAGAGAGCGCTGAGAAGACCATCGAGAGAGAGAGAGAGAGAGCGAGAGAAGACCATCGAGCGTTGAGAAGACCATCGAGAGAGAGAGAGAGAGAGAGCTTGAGAAGACCATCAGAGAGAGAGACCATTGAGAGAGAGAGAGAGAGAAGACCATCGAGAGAGAGAGAGCGTTTGAGAAGACCATCGAGAGAGAGAGAGAGCGCTTGAGAAGACCAGAAGAGAGAGAGAGAGCGCTTGAGAAGACCATCAAGAGAGAGAGAGAGAGAGCGTTTGAGAAGACCATCAAGAGAGAGAGAGAGAGCGTTTGAGAAGACCATCAAGAGAGAGAGAGAGAGAGAGCGAGAAGACCATCAAGAGAGAGAGAGAGAGAGCGTTTGAGAAGACCATCGAGAGAGAGAGAGAGCGTTTGAAGACCATCGAGAGAGAGAGAGAGAGAGCGTTTGAGAAGACCATCGAGAGAGAGAGAGAGTTTGAGAAGACCATCGAGAGAGAGAGAGAGAGAGTTTGAGAAGACCAGAAGACCAGAGAGAGAGAGAGCGAAGTTGAGAAGACCATCGAGAGAGAGAGAGAGTTTGAGAAGACCATCGAGAGAGAGAGAGAGAGCGTTTGAGAAGACCATCGAGAGAGAGAGCGTTTGAGAAGACCATCGAGAGAGAGAGAGAGAGCGTTTGAGAAGACCATCGAGAGAGCATGTGATGACTTTCAAGTGAGAGAGAAAAGTTAGATTCTTTTCAACTGAGAAAGTGCTAAGAAATAAAGAGGGAATAAGAAAAAAAGTTTTATCACTGCAAGGGAATCTGAGTGGAGAAGACAAAGAGGAGAAATGCAATAAAATGTTGAAGAGAGTGCAATAAAAAAAACAAAAAAAACATGATAGTCGTTTCTATATTTGCTGCTTACCATACTTGGTGGCAAATGAGATGCATTTTTATCCCCCCATAATATTAGAATTACATTACTTGTAATAACTGCATAAAGAGTAACTCATTTTGAACAGGGCCAAATAACAAATATGCATGAAGTTCTAGTAACATTTGATATAGCAAGAATTTTTTTCTTAATATTCCCTGCTATAAATGGCTGGAAGATCATATACACATGGATCTTTAATGCCATCAAATATAGCATTAGCTAAAATTGCAAGAGTAAAACATACTTTCATTACATAAAAAATTAGTATATTTCCGAGCTTTTATTTGTGCTGGGATGACCTCTGCCAGTAGCCATCCTACAGATCTCATAGATTTCGCATGAACCCCAATAGTAAAAATAATGAAAAAAAAAAAAACCCAGAAAACAAAACAAAAAATATAAATATAATCCTTCTCAATAAATAAACTAAATCAAATTAAAACCAATTAGAAAGATATCGGATGTGTGTGTAATGCAATGGTGCAAAAAGTGGAATTGGCCTGCTAAGTTAGAATTTTGGTCAAAACTGTTGCATTCGCTTTCACACAGATTCTTTTTGGAAGGGTATGCACCTATCTCTTCTCCTTCTCAGCTTTGACCGATTGAGCACAGGACTGGCAACTCCAACTTGCCAAAACTGATTTGCTGTGATATGAGTATCACAGCAACATCTAGCATGGTGATTAGATTATCCTGTAGAGTATATGGCCACAGCCACACCATGCTAGGTGTTGCTGTGGCTGTATACTCTACAGGATAATCTAATGGAGGTGGAGTAAGGTACGGATTTATTTGAACAAATTTCATAGTCTTTGTTATTCTTTGTCACAATATTTCAGCTGTTCTTCTTTATGTGTTGTGTCCTCTCAGGACATAGGTGATTATGGCTCTCCACAACTTCCTGTCCCTTGTAGCTCTTAATAAACTTTGCCTGTTATTTTTCCTAAGCCCTGTTATGCTATCATTTATTAAGTATGTTATGCATTGTTTTCCTCTGTCCTATCTGTCCTGTGAGTATCAGATTTTCCAAGCCCTCCTTCCTCATTACATGTCCTAGAAACCTCAACTGTCTCTTTCTAATGTTAAGTATTAGTTTCTTTTTTGTTTCCATTTTCTCCAAAACTTCGTCATTACTCACATGTTCAGTCCATGGTATCCTCAACATCTTTCTGTAGAAACACATTGCTGTTGCATCAAGTTACCTGTTCATCTTTGAGAAGCTCATCCAGTATGCACAGGAGGACATATCACATAGCAATATAATACTCTTTTCAGAGTCTGTCTATATTTCTGAGATGAGGTATTATGTACATTATTTACATTATTCGGACTATTGTCCTCATCTTTGTCACCATATTTATCACAACGTTTCGGCCGTTGTACGCTCCGGCCTTCTTCAGGTGGTTGGAATGTTGAACTGAACTCTTTATTTTGCTCACTGGGATAGACTGTTCTAGTTCCACGTGCCATGTCTAATTGATGTCAGTTATCAGTTATCTCCTGTTAATTTCCCTCTGAAAGTTTTCCACTGCCTTAACCAGGTATTGAACTCAGGGACACATGGCACAGTGGATAAAGGCGTTGGTTAGATTCAGTGACAGGACCCAAAGAGTGTGAGTTCAATACCCGATTAAGGCAGTGTAGAACAAGTTTTATTCTTCACAGCTAGACTTGTCATGCCACTTGTGTGTCACATTTTCTGTCATCTATTAAAACATTTCCTAGATATTTAAATTTTTGTACTTGTTTGTTTTTTGACCTCTCCAATTGATAGTTCATGTCTTGGACTGTTCCATACATTCTGTCTTCTTACAATTGATGATTAGTCCTTTCTTCTCACTTTCCTGTACTACCTTCTGTAGGAGTTCCTGTAGTTCTCCTTCTGTATATGCTATCAACACAATGTCATTTGCATATCTTATATTGCTAAGATTGTGGCTGCCAATGATAAATCCTGATAGGAATTCTGATTTCTTCATTAAAAAGGTTGAATAAGTCCAGTGAGAAGATACATCCTTTTATGCTCCTTTAACTTTTTGTGCATTTACTGAATTCATTTTCTATATGTATCCGCAGGTGGTTTGCTCCCAGTATAAGTTCTGGATTATTCTAAGATCTTTTTCCAAATAATAAAGTTTTCCTTGTAGTTCAAACAGATCTTTCTGCTGTACCTTGTAAAAAACTTTTGCATAGTCTATAGAACATAAATATACGTCCTTCTGGATTTATATTGCAGCAAGATCATTATCAGACAATTGTTAGAATGACAAGGCTCTCAGAGTTAGTAAATAATTAAAAATGTCAATTCCAAATTTAAAGACAAAAAATCACTTTACAGATATTCAGATAAAACAAATGACACCAACAACAGGGTGAGATGGTTAAATTGTCGCCATTTTATATTTTCAATTTTGCACATGGACATTATTTTTGATTTTGTTAACTGCACAGTACAGTAGGGTCAGTTAAGCACTGTCTGTGAGAAAAAAGAGCACCATGACACAATTCATTCGACAAGAAATTTGGAAATCACATGCTGAACTGCTGAGCGTTCACATCAAAATCTCCAATACAAACATTTTGGATTGTGTTTGGATGTCAATCTGAGGACAGTGCAGAGAATTCGGGAAGAGTTGGATGAGTCTAATGGCCATTACGAAGGTGTTTGGAGTGATCACTAGTGATGGCGATGTTATGCCACCATTCATCTTCCCACAGGGTCTCAGACTCAACACAGAGACCTACATAAAGTGCCTTGATGAGGTAGAGCTGCCCTGGGTCAAGAGGGTGGCTGCTGGAAGACCATGTGTTTGACAAGAATCTGCACCCTGCCACACAAGTAGAACCCAGACATGGCTGTCAGATAATTTCTGCTACCACATCAGCCCTTACATCTGGCCACCTAACTCCCCAGACTGCAATCCCCTTGATTGTTATGTGTGGTATGCAGTTGAGTGAGAGACTGAAAAAAAATCCTTGTAACACCAAAGATGAACTAAAGACAAGGGTTATGGCAGTATTTACAAACTTAAACAAGGAGACTGTCAAGAAGAGTTGCAGAAGATCCCAAAGTTGTCTAGAGGCTATGGTTGAAGCCAATGGCAATTTTATTGAGTTAATTTAATCTTTGGTATTTCAAGATATTTTTGTGTAATTTTAGTAAATATATGTTAAAATGAGATGTTAGTGTTATTTTCAGTTTTGTGTAATTTAGATGACAATTTATCCATCGCACCCTAGACATTACAAACATAAATACATATCAATAAACATTTTGCTTCAGAATCTCTTGGATTTATTTAAAATCCCCATATAGTATAGAGCCACAGCTTCACTACACTGCTGCTGTGGTTTCTGTAAGTAGTAGGGTTTTATGGGGTGGATTTACTAGCTGCAAACCCATCCAGTTTTGAATTCAGAGTTGTCTTTCTTCTAGATTGGTTGCCAACTAAGGATACACAGCCCATTCTGACTTGCTATTTAATCCAAATCAGGTGTTGGTGAGAGAAGAGATGAATTCATACCTTTCTCTAGAGTACTTGTGTGAAAGTGAATGCAACAAACTCAGCCAACATTTGAACTCAACATGCTGATACCAATTGCCAATAACCACTACACTGTGTGCACATCACAATAAAAATTCTAAAATATTTACATCTAAATATTGATTTTTTAAAAAAAAAAAAAAAACAACAAAGATCTTTTTGTTATTTTTGTGCTAAATTTTAAGCATAATCCAGATCAAAGAAATGAAGTCAGTTAATTACGAGATGTGGAACTCGCTTCCAGATTCTTGCTTTGCATTTAAATGTAATGTCAATCATTATCTTGTGTCTTCTTAATTCTTGTTCTTTTATTGTTCTCTCTCCTTAATGTTTTTCTTTTTCACATATTCTTTCACACTCAGTAACCCCCTTGTGTCTTAGTGGTTTTATTGCCATGCTTGGGGTGAAATGATTAAAAAACAAAACAAAAACAATCTGCATGCCTTTCTCTTTTCATTCTTTCTTATTATGTATGCTTTAATTTCTCACTAAACCAAACAGTATCTCTGATACATCTTTTTTTTTTTCAGTATTTGCTCAAAAGGAATGGTTCATTATTTATCTGAGGTAATGGTAGGGCATAATGGACATGTGAAGAGAGGAACAAACAGAATTATAGATCTAATTGCCTGGCAAATAGGCAATTCAATAGTTTTCTCACATGAAGTTTCAAGTAAGTGTGTAGTGAACAAAACAAGACCTAGATTTAAAAATTCAAATGCTAAGCACTGACTCACTGATTTTGTTAGAAATTAAAAAGACTCAAATTTACAAACTTTGCTTAACACACATGCAAAAGTGAATCCAAAACAAAACTTGTGAAATTTCACACCTTGATGCAAAATGTTTTTTGGCCAATAGAAAACTAGGAAACATTTAAAAACAAAATTCAAATAATCTTCAATTCTCAGAAAAATTCTTTTACAGACCTTTTCGCGAGCTGACGTGAAGGTTGTTCGTCGTCCAATGGAAAGGCCCGAATCATATACGGGAGTGAATTTCCAAATTACCTTTTCAAGTCCCACAAACAAAATAAAAGACGGGCAAGTTCACCTATCACCAGAGAGAAGGAGATGAGCATATTAACACGTCCCTTGACAAACGTCAAGCGATTGTTATTATTATCTCTACCTTTCTCCCTCACCTCTTTTATACTTGATAAATGAACGCAATATTTTAAGACTGAGTGATTACTTCAAAGACATTCCTACACTACGATAATGCTCATACATACATACATTCATCCACACATACGTTCCTGCCTATATACACAAACTCATTCTTGCAAGGACTACTACGAACATTTTGACGACCTTTATCAACCAAAATACATTAATTATATTTGTAGAGACCTTAATTGATTCATATGTATATAAATTTGTTGTTTCACTTTACAATTTGATTTTCTTGTTTTATACCCCTCTTATGGTGGGCTATCTAACTAACAAGGCCAAATCAAACTAATCAGTTTCAATACTTATACACTTCACTATAACTGACAACCCACCATAAGTGAAGTCTTTAAAGTATATAAAGGTTGTAAAAACTCAAACTCTGTATGTTTTCAATGAAGACTAATATCATTTGAAAACATTACACTAATAGTGACTATTTGTAGATGTAGTCACTAATAGTGACTATTTGTAGATGTTCTTTGAAAGCCTTCATTAAAAAGTAGGAAGAAAAAAAATTACCTGCACAGAATGGATTCTGGAAATTAAAATTCACAGCAAATTCATGGGACAGTTCCATGTGTGGTGGGATTTTAGCACCAAAACCTAAAGCTGGGAAAAATTTGTCTCTGAAAGCATAAAAATAAATATCAATCAATTTTGATAATCTCAACCATTACTTAGAATAAAGAATATATGCTTGCTTTGTGCAAAAATAAAGATGACAGTTCTGGAGAAAATGCAAAATTCGTTCGAAAGAGAAAACGATCAAGTTGGTTTTTTTTCGGGGGTGGGGGATTTCTGAGATTTTATAATATTATCAGCCCTTGTTGGTTTATTTAATGTCAGAATCATTTTTTTTCTTATATATGTTTGTCAATAGGTAGTAATTAACAGTTTTTTATATTTTCATCAATAGGCAAATATTGGTCATTTCTATCTGAGCCTAAGATTTACTTACTACTATATTCCGTGCTAATAGGAATATATACTTGAAAAACACGGTGAATAAATGAGTAAAGGTTTATTGTAGAAACTAATACAATAAGAAATAAGGTAATGGTTATGCACACGATCATCGCAAGTCAGTAGTGAGTGCTGCTATTGGAAGGTTGGTAGTTCTCATGTAAGTCTGAGTCATACTCAGCTAGACTACTGTAGTCCGTTGCCTTACAGATACTTATAGGTAGTTACTACCCATAGTGTAGTCACTCATGGGGGGTGACAAGTTATTCCATTACATCACTTAGGTAGGTGGCCCCCTTTTAGAGGGATGCAGATAACATATTCTCAGTCCTGCTGACAGGGCAGGATCAAGTAGAATACAATGGACATAACAACATGATGCATAAATTTTATAGTAGAGTGAAGGCAAATTGGTTAAAGACTGGTTATTTCACTTTGTCAGTAAGAAGTTTTATACACATGAGAAACAAATATGTATAACATTGTATGGATATTAAAATAAAAATCACTGAAGTTTATCAGAACAAATTTTGTCTATAGTCTTTAATAACACCTGATGCTAAGATGATATTATATATACATATATATTGTGGACTAATGCAATGTCAATCATCATCTTCTCACTTCTTGAATCCTGTACAAAATCTATGTAAAAATATAAACATACATGTTTGCAGATTATTAAACAGATTTAAAGATCACCATCCACCTCTACAGTAAATTTTAAAAAAAGCATATCAAAATTGTTTGGTACATGTTTTCTACTGGTTCATAAACTGACTTTATGATATATTAAAAATTCCTAAGGGAGGTAACAACTAACGCTGACTTACCTGGTGGCTTCTGCTGCTACTACTGTATTAAAGAACAAATGAAAACAAACTTGACTACTGAAAACTATATATAAAATTTAGTTTTATGGTGAAAGTTATTTTGTATCATTAAGGTTTGCAAAAAATTAAACAAATTTTGTTCATAATTATAAAATTAAAGTGAATATACACTACTAGCAATTAATAAAATTTCCGAATATTTTCTTTTATTGTTCTTGGTCTTCCCTTATCTTATTTATATCCAACAAAAAAAAAAAAAAAAAAAAAATGTTATATCGTCTGAAGAACTACTTGAATATTAATGACTCTTCTCAAAACTATAGAAAATACCAAAATATTCATTGTTTGCAGGTTTATTTATATCTAGCAATGTGACCAATTTATTCCTAATTAATCTATTTTTGGTTTTTGCTTTTTATACAGGTTCTTTGCATATCACTTTTGAATATTTTTTAGCATATGTTGAAATACATTTTTAATAGTCAAAATCCTATATTGCCCATCAAAATTTCCAATCACCCACCATTTTCTGTCCAGTTGTTAATTGCCCACCCAACAGTTGAAATCACCCACTGTTGGGCGATATTGCCCAGGTTGGAAAACCCTGATCTACAAGAATAAGTCATAGTCTGCTTAAAAAAAAAAAAAAAAAAAAAAAAGAGAGAAATCATTATATCATTATTTATTTCAGGATATGGCTGATCATGGCTCTCTACATCATCCCTTTTAGTGCTAAACAATATTTAATTCTTTACTTTCCACCCCTTGTCCTCATTTTGCCATCCATCCATACAAATTCATTACATAAGTTGATAGCTGTTTCTCTCTACTCCTGCTTAGCTCAAATACACCCTGTGAATATTAAATCTTCAAAGCTGTCCTTCTTCATAATGAGTCCTGGAGAATAATACGACAATAACAACTGGACATGCCTGGAGGTATATACCTAAATGATGGACTCATTTCAATCAGAAAAAATTATAATTGAATTAGTTGCACAATTTGACATGGTGTAATGGTTAACAAACTTGTCTCACTAGATCAATTACGACAGTAGTGAATTCCATCCTCACTTAGTGCGCTACACTTCCAGCAATGTGTCCCATCTAAGCTAGACTTAGAAAATGGGCACTAGATCACTTACAACTGAGTAGGGAGTTTGATCCTCACTGGGTGCCTCATACTTTTGTTCTTGTGCCATATAGAAGCTACACTTAGTCACTGTAACTGAATTAGTGACTCTGCAAAATTAATTATAATGAATTTTATTTAAGAAATACTTCAAATAAAAAGATGATCCATATCATGTTCAGCTTGAATCAACAACACTGACCATATCAATTTCACAGTGAATTGATATTTTAGACATTGGGCTGTAAGTTCCGAGATTTTGGTCTAAAACTATGACAATATAAACAATGGTGTCTGTTCATTATAGAAAAACAAACAAAAAAAGTCTCTACAAAATTTGTCATTAAATGTCCTAGCTTGAATGCAATTTCTAAGTTCATGATACACTTGCAGTTATATGCCAGGATTCTAATTAGTCTCTTTAACATTTTATCTTGGTTATATGCAGTGTGTCACAAAATAATTATCCGGTAATTCAAGAATTCTATTTAATTATATGCTTTCTGAAATTTGTCCGAGTTTTCTGGAATTAGCTGAAGTTGGCTTTCACAAGTTGTTCAAAGGGAAAATGACAATTTTATAGTTGTACATGTTAAATTACATCATGCAACTTTTTTTCATTCTCACAATATTAAAGGCAACACATAACATTAAAACAATTCATTAACAGTTAAACAAAAAACCTAAAGCTTTTGTTGAAAAGTGCTTTTTCATTGAACCTCCAGCAAGTCATAACATGAATCCAAATTAATTATTGGCACCAATGTTCAGACAACTTAAAATGGTTACTTGGTTACTTACTTTAGTGGATCACTTTACTAACAATTATTGCCATGTAATGCAAATAATAGTGCATTATTTGAACAAATTATCCAGTGCATTTTTTTTCATATTATTTCTAAGACTGTTTTTATACTTTTATAACCTTTTATCTAATGAAGATAACATTAATAAAAATATTTTGTTTTGTTCATTTCATTGTAGATAAAAATAGAAGCAAATTTTTCTCAACTAAATTATTCAGTGTCATCTCCATTATCTTCAGATAAATATGAAATTTATTCAGATAAATAAAAATGAAATGTGCATGAAGGATGCAAAAACCATGGAATTTTAAGGGAAAAATTTCAATGGAAGTGTTGTTTGTTGGATGGAAGAAGTTAGGTAGGATGAAGAAAGCAACATCATCTTTAACATACAACTAAATTGGCATCTTATAAATAATTTGCATTTGTTTATAATAAAATGCTTTTAACACACTTTTATAAAGTTTGTAAAACTCTTATTTAAGTAACACGCTCATCAATTTACTATTATGAAATAAGTAGCAAAGTAATTGTTCTAAGTAACATGGTTAATCGAAATAAGTGCTACATAATTCTTTGCATTAATTGTCCTTGTCTTTAGTTTCATCAGCAGTTTAGGATTGGGAAGTGTTTTATTGAAGGCTTACAATATAGATGTTGCTACTGCAGACATCAGGTAATCTTTTGTGAGCTTAGTAACAAAGTACAGTATTTAGAAATACAGATACAGTCAAGGGAAAAAGGCTGGGATAAGCACTTGGTCGTAAAATATGACCTCTTTCTTTCCAATTATTGAATAGAGCTTTATGATTTATATGGCAATATTTAGATAAGCTGTTTCTATACAAGAACCATTTGATATTCATTGACTGAACAGTGTGACTTTTGGTTGAAATATATGAAATCTTTCTTCTGAAGCACTTTTTTGGGGAAAATAAGCTTCATAATTTCACTAATTATTATCACTCTTTCTAATATTAATGGAAGTTTCCTTCTTAACCTTTCATTTAAGGTAGTGTGGAAAGTCAACATTTTGAAACATTATTATATTGTTATTCTCCCTTATAGTTACATATGCTATCCATTTTAGCTGTTGTTGCTGTTGAAAGTCCTCAAGTGATGTGCTTTTTGTTATTTGACAAAGATCTTTATGATTCTGTAGTTTACAAGACCTGATGAAAGATAGTCCTTCTTTAGACAGAGAGGATTCATTTTTTCATTTACTTGAAGCCATTTTTAATCATTGATGTCAGAAGATTGTATATAGTTGATAATTTAGACATTTCTGAATGAGTCAGATACGATGCATATCATCCATATAAGAGTCTAAATCTAACGACTGTATTTAAGGAGTGTCTTGAGTTCTCGGGTTAATATATTTTGATTTAGCAGCATCTTGTGGTACTATGCAGTCAACCTATTCTGTGTTCAATTTCTTTATCTCTTATAATAAATTTGTTTTAACTCCTCCATATGCTTAGGTATTCAAAGTATTTACAACTTATTAATTCCTCATTCTGAATTTTTATGATGTATGTGCCATTAATATTCTCATTCTAATTCCAGATTATAGTTTACTTTAGAAAGTTTATCTTAAGCCCTACTTCTTGGAGCTCATGATAAAAATTGTTGATTTTTTGTTCAAGATCATTCCTATACAAACTATGTCTACCTAAGTCATTAGTATAACCCCCCAACCCCTAACATCAGGACACTAGCCTTTGGTGAGCTTTAAAAACTTTTTGTTTTTAAAGGCTATGCCTCTTCAGAAGATAGGCAATCAGGACTTTTCACAGATTCCTTTTCTTTATTATCTGGGAATTGCTATGAATTCTTGGGAAAGTAAATTTGGTGGTTTGCCTTCTCTTTGGTTTTGAATTTGTAGCTATAACACTTTTAGAATGGCTGCCAATCAAAGCTAGAGAGGACAATCTGCCTTTCTATTTAACTCATAGCTGGAGGTAAAGAAATAGTTTCATGCCTTTTCCAATGGTATTAGTATGGAAATGAACAGAGTATGTTTAAGTTTTGAACTTGGTTCATCAGTTTTATTGTGTTGATAACCGTTACATTAACCACACAGCAACCTCCAAAGATAAAAGAATAAAAAATAAATACTAAAAATTATCTTTAATTTAAACCAAAATGAAAAAGCCAAATTGAAATTATGAAGTGATAAAAGTGTGGAAGGTTGAGGGGATGAAAATTTGGCCTTGTAAAAATATTCAACTCATCCATGAAGGAAAAGAAGAAATCAGATAAAGTGTAAATCCAAAATTTTTATCATCCAGAAATTGTAGAAGTGTTTTTGTAGAAGTGTTTTTCTATAATTGTTTTTCATTTTTTTCGATCATTTTTCTCTTATGAAAACAATTTCATACAATAGAAAATATAGACCAGATACAGGATGATTTCTTACTTGATACTTCAACTTGGACTATTACATATCACTGCTACTCAGACTATCATGCAAAGTCGGATTACTTGATACATTGTCCTTTATACCTGCTATATGGAAGTAGTTGTAAACACAAAACACATACAAATATTTAACAGGAAAAATACTAATTTCACTTTGAAATTATGTTACTTGGAGAACATAAAATATCTAATAATTTAATAATTATACATGTTTAAAATCAAAAACTTTGCAGATTAATAGTTTGATTGATGTTTTAAATACTGTGTAATTTTTATCCTTCTTTATAAATTATAATTAAAGTTTCTTTTAAGCTGTTAGTAGGGATATTGTATGTTATAAATAATTTCCAATGAAAAAGGTTTGATTTTGTCTAAACCTGATTAATTTAATAAGCTCTAATAATGTCTCTGGTATAATTTGAATTGGTCTAATGCATTTATTTTCTCAAATCTTATTTTATAAAATTTTTAAGGACTTTCTTTATTTTGTGATGTCAACGAATACTTGTTGCTACTTTTGTGATGTCAATGAATACTTGTTGTCACTTTCGTAATGCTCATTGTAGTAGAGACCTTGTAATTGCAGATACGACTATAGTACGTGATTGAACACTACTGGTGTTAGATGCCTTCAAATATTACTTGCACTAATAGTACTTGCTTGATAATACTTGCTTGACAAGTAACCTGTATAGTGATTGGAATAGAGAAATAGTATAGTGAATAGAGTAGAGAATAGCGGTCCATATAGTAATAGAGGATAGGATAGAAATAACAATCATTTAAACATCATGCGACTTTATATATATGCATTTCCTCTATAGTTACGTGGTCTACTTAATCCAATAATAGGATCGCCTGTGTTACTCACTGGTGACCAATGTTCAAACTCAAGTGTCGGCAGCGACACTTTATTCCTATATAAGACAAAAAAAAAAAAAAAAAAAAAAAAATAAGACAAAAAAAAAAACTTCAAGTAATTTTTTAAGCATAAACAATGAAAGTAAATCAAAATTAATTTATGAAGAAAAAAAAAATTCTAAGTATTTTATTTATGGCTTTTCACAGCTTTCTTCCTATTTAACCCATAACTGGGGGTGTCAGGAGAAGAAATATATTCATGTCCTTCCCAAAGGCAACATAAACACAACAGACTCAGCTTACCAATTCCACTTTCCATGTCAATAACTGTCATACTACCCAAATATCCATCTGTAAGTATATTTATTTACACTATATTTGGACTACTGTTCTAATCTTTGTTTTTACTGTCACAATCTTTCAGCTGTTGTGCTTTATGGCCTTCTTCAGGTGTTTGACAATCCGGGTAACCTTCAGCAAATTTTGAAATGAATTCATTATTTAATCTATTGGGGGTAGATTGTTCCATTGTCTATGAATTGTCCTTCTTAGTACTGCTCAGTTATTGCTTACCCCGTTTCATTCTTCTTCATGTGCCATGTCCCTTCAGGACGTAGGCGATCATGGCCCACCACATCTTCCTGTCCCTTGTAGCTCTTCATAAATTTTGTCTTTTTGCTATTTCTCCCAAACCCTGTTTTTCCATCCACTTACTCAAGCCAATCAAGTACATTACACACTGCTTTCTTCTGTCCATCTTACCCTCAATCTCTCCTGTGAGTATCAGATTTTCCAAGCACTCCTTCATTACGTGTCCCAGAAATTTCAACAGCCTCTTCCTGGTGCTAAGTATAAGTTTCCTTTTTGTTTCCACCCACTGAGTCTAAATCTACACTATCCACCTTAGGAATTGAACTCACAATTACTAAATTCATGAATAAATGCTTTAATTCACTCGGCGATTCTCCTGTGGGCAGAAATTGTAAAAGACTACAAGAAATGAAAAGTGAATCAACTCAATAGGCATTTCTTGTTTTATTATAAAATCAATAAAAATTTTCTTGCATTTTTATATTGCATAAAATTGATATATTAGCTTGATTATCTTTCTACACACAGCCTTTTAGAATAATTGGCTCTTGGACAGGTGATAAGTATATATTATAAGTATATTTTAATGTACAGCAAGACTGAAATGCTATTAAGAATCCGGCATTGTATCTATTCTTTCTTGGTATAGTTACTTACGTATCATAATCCTGGCAAACACTACCAACTGCTTGGATGGCTTGCATATATTGGTTTGGTGCATCTGGGCTGATGTAATGAAGAGACTGTGGATCAGCAGGATCACCATTTGAACCAGTAAAGTCAATGCCAACCTGAATAAAGAAAAAAAAAATGGTGTTTCTTAATATTTATTTTTTGTTTATTTTAAATCACTTATAATGTTATTGGTAATTTTGGTACCATTTTAATAAGCAACTTAAGCCCCTCTACCTAATTAAAAATGAATAAAAAAAAAAAAAAAATAAAAAAAAAATTATTCCACACAGATCTCTTGTTTTAAATTATTTAAGCAAATCTGAGCCCAATAAGCCAGATAAGGTATTTAATTATTATGATAAAAATTAACACTGATGTCCTCAAGTACACATGACCCAGTGCCAAACATAAACATGAATACAATATGGGAACCAGTTATACGGAGTGCTAGTGAAAAACAATAATAACAAAAAATTGTAATATGAGCCCTGGTAAAAAATGATACATTAGGTTTATAAGTCCCAACAATCCAGACACTGTTCTCAAGAAGACATAGTCAAGGGGATAAAAGCATTGGTTAAAATATAAAAAGTAAAATGTTGTTAGTTTTTCAAATTTTTTAGATTTAAGACATACTTATAAATATTCATCAGGTTAACTGAAAGGTCAAGGTAATTATAGCTCTCAAAAACTTTTACTTTTGTTTATAAATACAAATTGCAAAATAAAATCCTCACATTTGCCTTGATAAAGGCTGTCACAGGACGAAACGTAACGGCTAAATTTTCATTTTTGTCTTTATTCATATTACAGATATATTGTAGTTATGTCTAAATTTTTTTTTTTTTTTTTTTTTTTCACACATTATATATTTTATATGAGGATATTTTTTTTTTTTTAATGATATCTCTCACAAAATATCTTCCACTATTAATTACTGCAGGCATCAAGTGCAGAAGGAAAGTACAGCTCATTGTCATAAGCCACAGAGTCTTGGACATAGTAATGCACAGCTAGCTGGGTTGCATAATTTTTTCTATTGTTTATGACATTTTAATCAGATTCATTCTGACTAATATCCTCATCAGTTTTGCCTTTAACATCTTTCAACTGGTTGGCTTTCCAAACTTATTTAAGTGATTATCTTTGTTGTTATTATCATAACATTTCAGCCATTGTACTCTTTGGCTTTCTTCAGGTGCTTGTCAACCTGAGTAATCTTAGGAGAATTTTGAACTGAACTCTTTATTTAATCTATTTATCATTCTTGTTCCAACATTTAGGGGTATCCCTTTACATCAGGGGTTTCCAACATTTTTTTTTTTGCATCATTGCCCACTTTCACATGAAAAAAATTTTCTACCACCCACCTGTATAGTAAATATTCAAAAGTATACCAAATTGTTTGGTAAAAGTTTGTTATTGGTTCATAAACTCTCTTTATGATATAGTAAAATTAAATACTAAAGAAAGGTAACAAATAACATTGACTTACATATCAGCTGTTAATACTACTGTATTACAGAACAAACAAAAGAAAATTTGACCATTGAAAGCTATATAATTTGATTTTATGGTCAGGTTACTGTTGCAAATGCTGACAAAAAATTCAAATTTTTTTCATAATTATAAAATTAAGAAGAATATACATTACTAGCAACTAATAAAAATTCAGTGAATATTTTTAGTTGTTCTTGGTTTTCTCTTATCTAATTTATATCCTGTTATATAGGACTAAAGTGTTGTTGCCAAGTTTGAACATAAATTACCAATGAACAAACACAGGTAATCCTATTATTGAATTAACTAGACCACGTAACCATAGAAGAAATGTAATGTCTATATTCATATTCAAAAATATTTAAATAACATTTTTCTGTATTCAACAACTAAGAAACATTTTTTAACCAAAAAGCATTAACAATTTTTCATTAATGCCATGTCCTGTTTCAGTGTAGGGGATCATGGCATTCACTTCCTTTATTATATAATTTGCTTTACTTGGGAATTGTCCTTCTCCTAGAGTGGCTGCCAACTAAAGCTAGAGAACCCAGTCTACCCTGCTATTTAACCAATAGTTGGTGGAAAAAAAAAAGAGATGAAATCCTGCCCTTTCTAAAGGTATTTGTGTGGAAAGAGACACAACAGAATAAGTCAGAATTTGAACTTAGTTCATCAATCTCAATTTTTGCTGTTTATGTATCATCTGGTTTATACTCTTCCCCAGTCTTTTGAACAGGAGTAGAGGTTTATTCTTTGTTTCCTGTTTAGGATTGGGTTTCTGGTTCCTTCTAAAGTCTTTTCATTCTCTTGGGCTTTTCCAATCACAACAATTTTGATCTATTCAAATCGAGAGTTAGCTGTTGTTTATCCTGCCTAGCCCCACAAACTTCACTTTTTGTCCATTCTTATGCTTATACAACACCACACAATAAACCTCTATCATGAGTGTCTCTTGGGCCTTGTATTGGGTGAACATTAGTGATATGTTACCTATTATAATGAAAGATTTACTTACTGTAAAGTTTATTTGCATTCCTCCCATGACATAGTTCAAAAAAGATGGAATTACTGTAACCTGAAAAAGAGATGTGAAAAACAAATAGATATGAATGAATAAGAAAAATTGTCATGCCACTAACAATAGTTATATGTTTACATATTCTATTTAGGGTTGGTTGAATTTCCAGTATTAAAAGTTTTCAGTGGCACAAATTAAATCCTTGTTGTCACACTAAGTTTATACTTATTGAATGTTCTGAATCTGTTGTACCTAAGAGCAAAACCTTCCTTTCATTCAGGTCAGTTTGAAGCAGATGCTTTCATATTAAAAATCACAATCTCTGGTTGTAGATTTTGTTAGTGTAGTGAACGAGATAATCAAGTACCCCGGAAAAAAGTTTGTGTTTTGTGTGCGATTTGCCAAAGAAGGATTACCAAAAAGTAGTCAGCAAAACTCTTATAGCGACTTACCTCGTCGTCAACCCAAGCGACAGCGTCGCGTGTATTCTGTGACGAAAAAAGAAACAAGTCCGTCGCAGGAGTCGCTATAAGAGTATATTGATATGCAAATTACGGAGCATCCTATCCCAGCTGTCGACGAATGGAAAAAATAGGTTCTGCCGATAAAAGCAGTTGGTGTTTTCGACTCGGGGAAGGAAAATTCGGGCATTTTTTGCTACGGCGTTCGTGAGTTATTTTCCTGACGCGTTACAAGTGATTTTCTTTCTTTGTGTTGTGAAAGTAACAAATTTGCTTTGAGAACGCTTACTCTTCAGTTAGGTTGGATAATTTAACAATTTATCAATCCTGGATCAATTATTTCTTCTTCTTGTCCCATAACCTGTCAGTTTATGTCCAACTTCAAGACGCCACTTGATCCAGCCAGTGTCTGGGTGAAAACGTTTGACACTATTCAATGATGTTCTTTGATCATCTCTTACTTTAACATCCTTTTCTCCTTCCAGGGTGGGTCTTGGAGAGGGCCTTGTGATCTGGTTATGTGGCCATACCACTTCAGCTTCCTCTTGTTTATTGGGGTCAACACATCTATTAGGTGTTTATCTGATAATTTACTCTTCTGTGCAACTCTTCATTTGTGACACGGTTGGTGTAGGAAATACCAAAAAGATGTTCAGCATTTAAAAAATTGTCAAATAAAAAGGATAAAAATGACAATGCAATAATATTTAGGTAGACATAGGGGTAGTTTACACTAGGTTTTGAAAAAATGTAAACATTAATTGGGTTTATGCCTCAGTCCGTATCTAATCAGAAGGTGGTCTCCTTTTTTTCTATTTTCTTTTTAAATGACAGAGTCTTACCTTACTGTTGATTTTTAAAAACATGTATGAATGCGTTCTGTTATAATTATTTTAAAATTTTTAAATATATCCATTGTTGGAATATTTTGCAAAATAAACGTCCCAATGTAAGGGAGCTAACCAGAAATGCAAAATGGAATTAAATGTTGTTTAAATGCAGTTCAAAATGTTGTTGCTATACTCGTAATAAATTTTTGTTCAGTGTTGGTTAGTTGCTTTTGATATAATATATAGATACAATAGGCTGATGTAAGAAATTTGAGAGATAAAAATATAAGTTCACAAATCCCAAAACTATACAAAGTACTGAAAGTACTTATAACATCAGCAACACAAAATTTATAATCCTATTCTCTATCTTCAAAACTAGAAGAAATGACAAATTAGAAAAAGTTTTTGCAATGCATTTCATCTGTTAGGACTTCATCAGACTGGGTTTGTTGACTATCAGCATCTCTTGTTCCTGTCCATGTGTAGTCACAACAATGTCAATAAACCCAGTCCAATGAAGTCCTATCAGATGAAAAGTGTTACAAAAACCTTTTCCAATTTATCATACATCTTTTCTTTCAAAAACTCTTCTTGATATATAAAAATTTATATAACATTATCCCACATATATTCAGTCAATGACAAAATTATTCATGCACCCATCAATTTTGAATATTTTTGTCCATTACTCAGAAATATTTGAAAGACATCACCAAAAGTTTGGATACTTGCACAATACAATGTTGTTTAAATAGAAATGGTATGATGTCAGGTTTTTTACATATTAATAAGCACAAAAAAGGAATATAAACTCAATTTTCAGAACAATATGTTAAATACAACAAATTTGACAGGCAAAATAGGAAAAGACAAAATTATTTGTACAGCATGATAAATAGAAAAAAGTGAACAATTTTCACAATATTAATAGTATTATCTCTCATCTTTATAAGTTGCTGCAGTCATTTTCTAAAGTTTTTGATGAGATTTGAACAAGTCTTTTCTGGGATTTTTTCCATACTTCAATGGTTATACGTTCCAATTCCTGAAGGTTTTTAGGTGACCTATTGTTTATTCAAACTTTAAATTCTTGCCATAGATTTTCAATAGGATTCAAGTCATGACTCATTGAAGGCCATGGCAGAACTGTAATATTTTATTTCTGAAGTCATGCAGTCACTGATTTAGATGCATGTTTGGGATCGTTATCTTGCTGGAAAGTAAATCACTGACATAGATAAAGATTTTGTTCTGATAGTTATAGATTTCCATCCAGAGTTTTGATATAGTCTGCATAGACAAGGCCCTCTCTCTCCACCCGTTTGCTCATATATTCGTGTTTGGTGACTTTAATGCCCATCACACCAAGTGGCTCGAGAATACTACTACTGACCGGGCTGTCACTCAAACATTTAACTTCTCAATTTCTCAATCCCTCACGCAGATAGTCGACTTCCCCATGCGTTTTGCCCTCGACCTGGCAGGTAAGGCCTCTCTTCTCGACCTGTGTTTTACCTCCATCCCCGAATCTTGTAGTGCCACACAGCTCTGCCCGCTTGGCAACTCCGATCACGCTGTGGTATCTGTCAACGTTTCCTTCAACTCCACGCCCTGCAAAGAACCTCCCTCGTTCTACTATCAACGAGCGGATTGGGACTCGTTCCGTGACTTCCTCCGCGATGTCCCCTGGGATGTTGTCTTTACACTCCCTGTCCAAGAATGTGCTTCTGAGGTCTCATCATGGGTTAAAGCTGGAATCGACGCTTTCATCCCCTCAAGGAAATTTAAGGTCAAGTCGCACTCCTCCCCTTGGTTCTCCGCTGCTTGCTCATCTGCCATCGCCCATAGGAATCACTTCTTTCACATATTTCCGTGCTTACATGTCGGACTGCAATAGACGTCTCTTTGCCGCTGCCCGTAACGAAAGTAAGCGTGTCCTCAACGAAGCTAAGTCAATATTTGCTGCTCGAATGAAGGAACGTATTGCATCTCACAAATTTGGCTCCAAAGATTATTGGCGGTCTGCAAGAGTGTCCTGAATAATCGAAAACCCTCCATACCTCCTTTATTCAACCAGTTCGAGGTCTTGACCTCCTCTACCGACAAGGCTGAATGCTTTGCTTGGAAATTCTCATTTAATTCAACGCTCGACTCCACCGGTGTACCCATACCAGACTACCCTCTTAGAACTGAGGCCTTACTGAGCAGCTTACACATAACCCCGTCATTGGTACTGGGCATTATCTCCACCTTAGACCCCCACAAGACTAGTGGTAGAGATGGCATACCAGCCATTGTCCTGAACAAATGCACGCCTGAGCTAGCACCCGCCCTCTCTAAACTGTATAATTACTGCCTCAAGGAATCATGTTTTCCTGACTGCTGGAAGTCCTCATCCATTGTTCCTGTGTTTAAGAACTCTGGAGACCCCTCTGACCCCACTAATTACCGTCCTATTAGTCTCCTACGCCTCTTCGGCAAAGTCTTCGAAGCCCTAATCAATGCCGAAGTGGTTAATCACCTCAAATCCCATAATCTGCTCTCAGACAAGCAATATGGTTTCCGCTACGCCCGATCTACAGCTGATGTCCATCACTGAAACCGTCTACCAAGCCCTTCAAAATAACGGTGAGGCTCGTGCTGTGGCCCTCGACATCTCCAAAGCATTCGATAGGGTTTGGCATGCCGGCCTTCTTCGTAAGCTCCAGGGGTATGGTGTTACTGGTCAACTGTTTGATCTAATACAATCATTCCTGTCCAACCAAGAATTGAAGGTCGTTCTCAACAGATTCTCCTCCAGTTCCTACCCCACTAATGCAGGTGTGCCCAAAGGCTCCATCCTTGGCCCCACTCTTTTCCTTATTTTCATCAATGACCTTCCTGAAGCTATAGATTCCCAAGTCAGCATCTATGCAGATGACACTACAATTTACTCCTGCCTCAAAAACAAATCTAGTGTCGGTGACAAAACTAACCTTGCTGTGCATCTTGAAATGGACCTCCAATCGGTTGTTAACTGGGGCAAGAATTGGCTGGTCAACTTTAACGCCACAAAAACTAAATTACTCTCCATTAACCACCATAGAGATCCTTCCCTGCCCCCCATTAAAATGTCTGATAGTCAACTTCCTGAGAGCAACTCCCTGCGTCTGCTCGGCCTCACGCTGACTGCTGACCTGAGATGGAACAAATACATTGAGTCAATTGCTTCGGTCCAATCATGAGGAAAGTTGGCTCTCTGTGCCGCCAGGAAATTTTTCTCCCTGAATCGATACTTCAAATATACAAAACAACCATTCGCCCTTGCATGGAGTATTGCTGCCATATATGGGCTGGAGCACCTTCTGCTTATCTCGGAGTTCTTGACAAGATCCAGAGACGGATATGTAATCTAATTGGCCCTGATCTGGCGTCTTGTCTGCAGTCACTCTCTCACAGACACGCCGTCGCCTCTCTCTGTCTTTTCTACAAATACTTCCATGGTAACTGCTCTGATGAGCTGCTCTCTCTGGTTCCCAGACTCCATGAATTCAAGCGCCCTACAAGGCTGGCATCCTGCTCTCACCCTTACACCGTAGAAACCTTCAAATGTAGCCATCTCTTCTACTCCAATAGCTTCATACCTCACACCTCTCGCCAGTGGAACACCCTCCCCAATTACTGTTTCCCTGAAAGCTATAATCTCCAACTATTCAAGTGTAATGTCAATCGACATCTCCAATTACCTTGATCTACCCACTATCCTTCTCCTCTTCCTTTCTCCTATCACTCTTATCTGCTCTCGCTTCAAATCTTCCGCAACCCCCTGCATCCTAGTGGCTTCACGCCTTGCTTCGGGCACAATGCTTAAAAAAAAAAATAAAAAAATATTTCATTATTCCCCTTATTGCAATTAAGTGTCCAGTCCCCTTTGAGCTAAAACAACCTCAAAATATCTTCAAGCCACCTCCCTGTTTTAATGGTGCCACTGTGTTCTTTAGGCGGAAAGCATCACCTTTATTGCTCCAAATCTTCCGTGCATCATTATGTTCAAAAAGCTCAATTTTTGTTTCATCACTCCATGGTACTTGTTCCCAAAAGCAATTTTCTTTGTCCAAGAATGTTTTGGCAAAATTAGACCATACAACAATGTGACAGTTTGTGAAAAGGGGTTCATCATGATTGTTTTCCATACAAACCATTTCTATTTAAACAATGTTGTATTATGCGAGTACTTATGCTGATACCCATCATATCCAAACTTTTGATGATGGCTTTCAAAACAACTCTTGGATTTATATTAACCTCATGTCACAGTTTTTGTGCAGTTCTCAGTGACAATTTGGGTTTTCTTCCATGCCCAGGTAAATTCTTTGTCATGTCAAACTGTTTAAACTTCTTTCTAAGGGACTGTACTGTAGATCTAGGGATAGCTAACTGGTTTAAAATAGTGCTGTAACTATTTCCCAACATGTCGAAATTAATAATTCTCTGTCTCAAGTCAACGCTAAGCTCCTGCCTTCTTCATCAATGGTGACACTATGCACCATGTGATGTTTCTGCTGGAATTATCACAAATATTCTACAGAATAAATAGTCTTAAAGGCTTCACCAGTAAAATAATTATCTAAATTACTTATACATACACAAATCAATCAATTTAAAATGATATTTTTTACTGTACAAATAATTTTGCCTTTTCCTATTTTGCATAATTTGCCTGTCAATCCTTCTTTAATACAAGTTTCATTAAAGGCAACTGACAAGGTACATCGATTAAGTTTTTTTTTTAATTTAATTTCCTTGTTGCACAGGAGAGAGAAAGAGAAATCAATACTTAATAAATTAGTTTTGGATTTAGAATCAATGCTCGGTATCAATTTCATGTAACAGAGGATGCCAATAAGTCATATCACATACTGGACAATTCAATTTTGTTGAAATTCATAAAATATAAACATATCTATTATTCTAAAATAAGAATTAAATGCTAAAAGTTTTTGGAATAGTGTTTTTAAGTAAGCTTTTTATTCAGGAATAGTAAAAATGACATTTTTTTTTTTACTTAAATTAGTAATTTCCTTTTCTATTTTTTTAAATAGATTGTCAGTTTTGAAATTTAAAGAAGGTTTTATTGATATAGTTGGAGAGTAATATCCAATTAATCACATTTGCTGATGGTGAAATCAATTTCTTCCCTATAGGAAATATTCAGCATCCATTGATCAAACACCATTACCGTCAGTTGACATTTATAAAATCTTTTCATTATTTTCAGTTTTTTAGGAAATGAAACCTCATGTCCACTATCCACTGCTCTTTCTAATATTGATAATAGTTTCCTTTCAAACTCTTTACTTTTGACAGTGAAGAAAGTTAATGACTTGAATATGTGATTATTTTCTCATTATATGTGCTACTCATTTTTATTGTTGCTGCTGTTGGAATTCCTCAGAAGATCTGGATTTTGTTATTTGGTGAAGATGTAGATTTGTGATTTTGGTAGCACCAATCTATACAGCCTGAAGCCATTTTTAACTATTGTTGCAATCTAAATCCATCACATTTATGCATCTTTAACTTTTAAGACTGATCCTAACAATAAGTAAAGACATTGGAAGAGACTGAAAACATTACTGCAATTTGAGTTGGCAGATGTATCCAGATTATACAAGATATTGAGAATGTCTGACTTACCTTACAAGTCTGGACAATAATGTGACCAGAATTGGCTTTTTTCTTCTTAGGATTGACACAAGGTTTCTCTACCTGAAAAACACAAAATGTGACTTTATTAAACACGTAGCTTGATATGAGATATTCTATCTCTATAGACATGACTTGATACTATTATGTCTTGTGTTACCTTATCAAGATGGCAGTGAATGCTGAACAGTTTTTTTCACAGAATAGGAGACTTGAAACAACAGATCTGATTCTACAAAAGAATGCTGAGAATACTATGGATGGAGCATGTGAGCAATGAGGAAACTAAGAAAAATAGACACAAAAAGGGGCACTTATACTTAAAATAAAAAAAAAAGAGTTGAAATTTTTCAAACACATAATGAGGAAAGAAGGCTTGGTGAATTTGACAATCAAAGGACATCCTGAAGGCAAGAGGGGTAGAAAGAAACAGCAAGTAAACTACCTAATAAGCTTGTGCAGAACAGGAAGTAGAAAGGATAATAAAAAGATAGGAAGTTGGGGAGAGCCATGATCGTCCCTTTCCTTTCCTGGAACATAAAGAATACAGCTGCTAATTAGCTAATCTAAAGATGCTGTTGGATCATTGTCATGTGACACATCAATATTTAAGGGAGAATGAAAAACACAAGCATGCCAAAATTTATCAAGTATGATGAATCAAATATTATTTTAGGCACTAAAATTTTTTGCAACAGGCTAAAGCATGTTGAAATCCTTACAGTATTTAGTATTGTTGAAGTTATTGCTAACATTTTTTGTCGAGATTTACAAACTATGATTTCGCAAATCAATCAATGAAATTTGAATAAGCTGATTTGTTTGGAAAAATACTTTGATAAAAGCCTACTTCACAGTTTAATAATTTCTTCAATTTAATTTTATAGCACTTCATGGTAAATAATACTTTTTAAGAATATTTATTTTTTATTTTTTCCTTTTTAACAGCAAAGAATACATTCTTAGGATTTTTTTGCACTTGAGCATGCAATGTACAACTGGCCATACGATTTTGTTTATAGTTCTCGCAAATACAGGGCAAACATGAAACTGAATTATTATATATAAAAACTTGAAGATATGCAAAAAAATATAAAAAATAAAATAAAAATACGGCATTTTTATTAATTAACTATTTATTATTTTATTCATTAATTTTTTTTAAAAGTTAGTGGGAGTATTTTTTATATTAAATAATAAGTTTTAATTTTTTCAAAAAAAATTAATGAAAATTAATACACCTGAGTAAAACCATTTCTCCCCAAATTTGGTTTTGATTGGTCAATGTATGGCTATTTTAAAGAATGTGACGGACAGATGGACTAAAGGAAGTCATAGAATTTTATATATATAGATTCTTCTGCCCAAGTAAAAATATTGGCACCAATCAATTTATTTAATTATTTTAATAAATATTATGTTGATTTCATCACACAGAGTTACCATGCTGACAAATCAAAGCACAAAACTTAATTTCTCACATTTAACATTACATTTTATTTTACACCAATATATCATCAATTACTTTTGGCCAGTGTTTGTTGTGTAGCTCTCATTTGATTTTGAACCTTAAATTTTCATCCGCTACATCAGTGACTGCTCAACTCCTCCTTGGTCTGGTTGTTCATATATCTATCTCATGTCTGTCATGCTATGTAACTTGTTCTCACTTAATTATCTCCCTTTTTGTAGGATGAGTTTAATGAAAATCAGATGATGGCTGGTGAGTGATGTCAGTTTGTGGGGGGATAAACACCAATTGCTGTGTAGACTGTGAGGAGAGTAGATGTGATACCCCAAAGCAGTAAGGAGAAAGAATGAAAACCATATGGCCCAAGCAAGGAAGATAAAAGATATAACAAGTGAAACTCTTGATTTTCAGCCTTCCACACTGCTTGTTTTAATCATATATACTATAATTTCTCTCTGTGAGAGAAATAGTGACAGGTATACCATGCTTGGAAAACTAAACTGGATGCAGCTGTGAGGCCATGTGATTCTGCATTTGGTGGCCAAGAGTAACTCTAGATCAAACCAGCACCTTGTTCTTTTGATGGTTTGGTATGATATTGCATTAAATTAATTCATTTTCATGTAATGTTTATGTTCTTATTATTAATAATATTATTAGTAATATAATATTGTTATTTATTATGTGATTATAATATGTGGTTATGTAATATTTGTATTTGGTTAGAGTTTTTCAGTTTGCTTAACAGAAACCACATCAATTGCAAATGGCTACCATTTTTTTACTCAATAAAATCAAATTAAGTATTAATGTGCTAACCTACCATAGTTAATATCTTAAACTAAATTGATAAAATCTAAATTGATTTTTGGTATGCAAGGAATTCCTTTTTAAATGAAGTTAACCTCTTCACTATAAAAAGAAAAAAAATTATTTCAAATTCTCATGCTAAAATCAGTCCCTTTAATAAAGTGTATTCCTTGGGTTAGCTTTGATAAAAACGGTTTGTAAATAATTTGAAAGCTTACTTTCCCTTTACAGAGAGATTCACAAAAAAAACATACATTTATTTTTGAATGCTGTTAGAGTGGATTAAAACAAAAAAGCTTTGAAATAGGATGGGAAGGGTAGAAAAGAATAGGCAAGCAGAAATAAAGCAGAAAAGATATTTTGCCATTCAAAGGAAGCTAAGCATTAATAAAGCAATTACAATACAACAATCACAACTTGTTTCAATTTGGAAATATTGAACTCACCTTTTTCCAAGTTTTGGATTATCAAGTCTTAGCAAGTGATCAAAGCTTATTACTCAATAAATATAGATTTTTCAAATGGTAACTATCATGCACTGGAAAATAATATTTAAATCCAATAAAATTTTGTGCTATTGCTTCTTTGAATCCTTGTTACCGAGGTTTGAGGAATATGGACAATTTTTATAGTTTTGAATTCAGTTGTCCTTTGCAGAGACTGGTTATCAAGTACACTTAGAAAGACCAGTCTGTCCTGCTATTTCACTAGGGAGAAAAGAAATGGATCTATATTTTTCCCCAAGGGTTAATTTTTTAATTTGGAATTGTCCTTCTCCTAGAGTGGCTACCAACTAAAGCTAGAGAACCCAATCTACTCTGCTATTTAAGCAATAGTTGGTGGAAAAAAAAAGAGATGAAATCCTGCCCTTTCTAAAGGTATTTGTGTGGAAAGAGACACAACAGAATAAGTCAGAATTTGAACTTAGTTCACCAATCTCAATTTTTGCTGTTTATGTATCATCTGGTTTATACTCTTCCCCAGTCTTTTGAACAGGAGTAGAGGTTTATTCCTTGTTTCCTGTTCCTTCTAAAGTCTTTTCATTCTCTTGGGCTTTTCCAATCACAACTATCCATTACATCACCTGTATACCTATTTTTACCTATAATTCTCATTGAGAAGAACTGACATCAGTTGGTCCCAAATCCCCTTCAATGACCATTGCTAAGAAACTGGTTAGTGAGCTGCAGCTTATCTTCCCTCGGCACAAGGATGAAGCCATTGGCCACATGAAGGGTTGTCATCAAGGTGACTAAGGAGTTCCATGTACCCCACTTCTGAAATCAGACAAATTACCAACCAAAATTAATGAGCTCTGTTCACTTGCTATTAAAGAATAAAAAATAATCTTCCACAGTTAAATGCCATTGTAATATTTAGACTTTTACTTTATAATTTTTAACATTTCTTACTATTTATTGTGTTTTAAAACAGGATTAAAACCCATTGAGATATTTTCCTATGTGTAAAATATTTAAAAATCTGTTAATTTAAAATGTAAAAATGAAGTCTATAAAGTAAGAAGTAAATAAATACAAGGAGTTGCTGGAAAGTTCTTAGCCTCATACACTTCCAAAATCTGACCAGATTTTTTTTGAAGGGTTTCTTGGTCAAGCTGAGAACTTTCAGTATACCTCTCATAATCATTTAAAACATTTTTCAAGAGATGCAAGTTTCTAAAAGATATTCAGTTTTTCTTAATTATACATTTATTTGCTTCCTCAGGATAAATTTACATATTTAAAATAAATATATTGTTTTTTGCTGTGTGAAATTTTGATGAACATATCTTTCTGCTGATTTAAACAACTTAAGCAAGCTGGAAATATTCAAACTCTTTATATATGTACATATATATTACACACACTTTTTATATTTATCTTCTGCTACTACAATATATATATATATATATATATATATATATATATATATATATATACACACACACACACACATTTTTCCCTTGTAAATATGCCTGTTTTCATAGCTTTAAAGAAAAATACATATTTCTTTTCGCAAATACAGTCTAGAAAGGATACATTTTATTTATAGTTAATTTCAGATTAATTTATCTTTCATTTTATTTTTGTTCATTTTTTATTGTAATGTTCAGGTTAATTTTACATTCTGCAACAATTAATCAATATAAAGATACCTGAAATTATGTGATTAGATCTAAACAGTTACACAGATTTGCACTTGGAAATCAGTGTTGCTTCATCATCACTCACATGACTGGGTACGATTGTAGACAACAGCACAGCTTATCACCTGACCAGCTCCATCCACATGTCTTGATTGTGTGTTAATGTCTGAGTCATAATGAATGCTCTTCCAGTCCACTGAGTATAATTGCCAGCCTATTTTTTTCAGTGGAAGGATTGTTAGGCCTTATGGCGTGACCACAGAATTTCAACTTTCTCTTGATGTAGGATATTCAAGAATTATAAATATTTTTCATTGCTTTGACAACAAAGATGTTTTAATTGATTTGCTTTATATGGCTATATATAGGTTATTTAAAGCCAGAAAATATTTTTAGATTGGAAGCATACCTTTTTAGATAATAATGATTTAGGGATACAAGTCATACTAAACTATAGGTGTGGGGAGAAGAGGTAGATTCATACCTTTCTCAAGGGTATAAGCACATAAATGAATGTAATGAACCCAAGCGGAATTGGAACTCGGCTCTTCAAATAACAATTCTGAGCCATTATCCATTACATTACCTGCACTTCCAAGCTTACAGCACCTCGTATTCCCAAGTGGTTATCCATCTAGGTATTGAACAGATGCTTAATTTTGGTGATCATGCAGGTACCAGTTTTCAATGTAATATGGCTGAAAGCCTGACAACATGAAGAGCATTTTAGGTGATACACCCAGACAGTAAATGAATTGATGTAGTCCACACTATAAAGGAAATGAAACTTGTTTGATCAGCAAATACACAAGCATCACACAAGTTAAAATATCATTTATAAAAGAGTTCATAAATATTGTATGGTCTCCAGAATATGTTAGGTTGATGAAGCTCATTATGATAACTTTAATTTCAAATTCATATCAAAAGTAAGAATTGTAATGCTAATACATTATTAATTATTATTATAATCCCAGTATTACAGTACATCATAGTTGATAAGCTTCTGTAAATTTTGGAATCAAACCCATGAGGGTTGATTGTTGTCATTCCATTGTCTATAATTAAGTGTTTGCCGTTACTTGATGAGCCCAACTTTGGATCAATGGAATCAACAAAAGTGACATCGCAAAGATTGATTCTCCAGCATGTGTAATAGGATAAGAACAGTCTCATTCTTGTGGATTGAATAAAGAGATCAGTTTGAAATTTCCAGAAACAAAGTAGGCATATGAAGAATGCTGGAAGGTACACTCTCCAGCCCTTTTCAGTTGCCTGTCATATCCCCCCTCCACACACACACTTCATAATTGTTGATGATAACTTTGTGTTTACTATGGAGGGGGTGCTGAAAATTTCTCTGCCTGACCAAGAATGTCTTTTTTTTTTAAATTTTGATATTTACTAAAATGCCTATTTTTCTTGATTTAATTTTTTAGTTTTTTCCCTATTGCAAAAGAAAAAGGGTTTTTATTATTATTTCTATAAAATTTGAAATTACTAGTATCATTTACATGTGGAATTTTAATTTTTATACACTTGTTAGAACTTGTGGATGGCAGCAAACCTTACCTGGCAGCAAGCAAAGATCAAATGCTGATATATGATTTTTAATTATGATCTCTATAAAAGAGTTCTTCACTGTTATAAAAGATAAATTGAGAGCATAAAACATGCTTTCTAAGGCACATCAACACCTAATGGGTCATATAGCACCAAGTACCATTTCCCTTTGCACTGACAAAGTTACTATTGTGAACATGGATGTTCTTTTTTTACCTCTTATGAACCAAATTTTAATGAAAATTAAATTTAAGCTAAAAAAAATTAATGAAAAAAAATTTACGTTAATGTTGTCGATTTTTAGTAACATCAAAATTTGGCATGCAAAAATTAAAACATGCCACTATACACATAGCCTGTAGCCGAGATGATATAGATGTTTATATAAGTGGTTCATGAGGGGTTCTGGAGAAGAAAGCAGGCTACCATGACCCCTGGGTATTTGCAGAGAATTTGCAGCAGGGGGAAGGTAGAAATAGAGAAATGCTGACTTGGTGGTATCGCCAGAGGTGGATTTTGCCGCCATGTCTAACCTCACTTCCAGAGCCGGCTTCCATCATCTCAGCCAGTGTCATTGTACAGCTACCAATCAAATCATGTGACCCGTCACTGTCCCAATCATAACAGTCAATCTGAAAATTAAAATAAAAAGGTTAAAAAAAATGTTATAATTTTCAGAAAAAAGAGAATAGATGTTATATTACTGAGAAATGAAACTTCTTCCAAGGCAGCCATTTTTGTCTTGCTCTATGATATCACTGCACAGAAATTGAAAAACTATTTCTGAGATGGATATCAGATTGATTAATTTGTTTTTCTAATGGCTTATTAACCCATTGCAGGTTATTTAAAGCCGAAACATTTTGGATTATAAGAATAATTGTTGTGGCCTGTTAGGAGCCAGAAACAAAGACACAGGAAGAAAAAGATACGTTAAACAAGTGTATTGAAAAACAGATATATACAAAGTAAGAGTGTGATTTTTTTTTAGGAAATAAATTTATTGAAACAAAACAAGTTCAATTGACCACTGATGACAATTCCAGAACAACGTAACAATAAGCAATTTTTTCTAACCTCTGCCAGCTGCAATGATGGAGAAAGCATTACCTCGGACCATCGCTAGTGAGACACGCTGCAAGAGCCACTCTGTTTCACGAGGCTTGTCCCTTAATCGAGACACAATCATGCCAATCCTCCGAAGGAATGCCATCAAATGAGGGCCAATAACCCCTGAAGTCTCCACCGCCACAGGAGTAAAAGAAATCTATCAGCAAGAGAAGAATATTTAAGTATTTTTTTCATCTCTGCGTCCCGGGTGACGGATCCTGGCTCAACCGCAGACCTGATCAAATTACCGACTGAAAATGTATCGGCAGATAGAAGAGTCTGTCCAAACTGTCAGGTTACACTGCGTCTCGACTGTCTCACAGGTTGCTATTTACGAAAAGAGGAAGAGTTCATTCCCATGTAGTTAGGTACCAGAACAATAATTCTCATTACTTTTCCTTTTTTTCACAAGTGAATATTGCATTAACAATTTTTTGCAAATATCAATAATTTTCACAGATATATGTCCTACTATTTAACCCATAGCTTGGGGAGGAGATGGATTCATACCTTTCCCAAGGATATTTGTGTGTAAGTGAATGTAACAAACCTGAATAGAATTCTTATTTTGAGCCACTATCCATTACACCACCTGCACATCCACAGATGGCATGTATACACGAATGCTCTGTATTGCATTGAAACAGCAACCTATTGACATTTACCTCCACTCTCACAAGACATTTAATAGTTCTGGGTATGATGATAAACTACATCTGGCAGCAAGAATTTTGATCAGGAGATTGGAGCTTTTGAGGCGCATGGAACCCCCTCTTAATTGCTAATGTTCTCCTGTTCACTCTGACCTGGGATGGTAACACTTGTTAGGGTCCCAGCTATGGGCAAATAGTGAACCTCCAGACAAAAGCAAAACACTATGAAAGTATAAGAGTATATTTTTATAGTAAAAATACCAGCAATACATGTTTACATAGTAAAAACAAGGACTAACTACTATCTAAAATATAGAAGGAGAAAGCCAGAAGATGGAGGTCATATCAGCAAGATCATTGAGTAATATTGAAATGAATCATTTTTCTCCACACTTATAACAATGATTTAAAATGACATGCAGCAAGGTGCTGGTAATTCAGCTAGTACATTATAAAACTGGTTATCATGACAAAGGGCTTCTGATTTTCCTTTCCAAAGAAAGAATTATAAATTGCCTAGATTTCTCAATGTAAGCTCTCTAACCTTTTAAATGTAGTAGCTTACCTGAATTGGTTTGGACTTGTCATTATTACATAGGGCCTGTGTTGTCAAGGAGAAAGGATGCCATGTGGGATTCAAATTGTTCTTGATCACCTGATAAAAATAATATAAGAGTTTTTTTAAAAACAAAAATGCTAAACAGATAGAAAAGAGAGATTGAAGATATAACGAGAAGTTTTGGAAGAGTTATTCTTGATTCTTAAAAAAATTCCATAATTTTTAACATGTTTTATGCAATGTAAAATAAAATATTTTTACTATTGTTTCTATTTGAAAAGTAGAATGTAAATATCAAAATACAAATAACTAATAAAATTCAAGAATTAGTTTCACCATTTGGAAATAGTGTCTTTAAAACATTTTTTGGCTAACAAGGATAAAATAACTCTTGGTATATTGATAATGTCATGGCAAATGTTCCTTGAAAAGTATGAGATGTCAAATCAAGAGAGAGAAACATTCAGTTTGTACTTAAATTTAACTCCCAATTAAATTGTGAATTAATTTATGAAGAATGATTTAAAAGAGAAAGGATTTTTATTGACATGAGCTTCCACTGGATAATTTTATGAACCATAATATAGTGCATTATTTACATTATTCAGACTATTGTCCTCATCTTTGTCACCATATTTATTACAATGTTTTGGCCGTTGTACACTCCAGCCTTCTTCAGGTGGTTGGAATGTCGAACTGAACCCTTTATTTCGCTCACTGGGGTAGACTATTCTAGTTCCACGTGCCATGTTTAATGGATGTCAGTTATCAGTTATCTCCTGTTAATTTCCCTCTGAAAGTTCTCCACTGCCTTAACTGGGTATTGAACTCACTCTTTGGGTCCTGTCACTGGATCTAACCAATGACTTTATCCACTGTGCCATGTGTCCTTGAGGATACACTGAGTGAAATAAAGGGTTCAGTTTGATATTCCAACCACCTGAAGAAGGCCGGAGCATACAATGCTGAAACGTTGTAATAAATATGGCGACAAAGATGAGGACAATAGTCTGAATAATGTAAATAATGTACACCTTCATCTCAGAAATATAGATATATAATATAGTATAGGAATATTTATTTAAGAGTCTTTCATTTGGTTAAGTTTTTGAAGTGAAAGATTGTCATATAAATCCATTTTTCAAGTATGTTGAAATGGCTTGTTTTTCCCTAACCAGAGAATTTTTGGAGTTCCTGGCTTCTAGCTAGATGCTTTTTTTTTTTTTAAATAATTTTTTGATTTACGACTTTATGGTGTGTCTAATTTGAAAAACAAAAAAAAAAAAAAAAAAAAAAAAAAAAAAAAAAAAAAAAAAAAAAAAAAAAAAAAGAGAACAAAACCACAATTAAAGGCAACAAAACTTAACTATTGGGAACTGAGAAACAGAAATGTAGGTTATGGGAGAAAATGAAATGAAGTCGATAAATAAAATAATAATAAGTAAGAAAAATAGGAAGAAAAAGAAATACATTTTTCCATGGTGCTAAGAATATAGGAACCAGAAATATGGTTTCATCAAACATTGGCGTTGACATCTCTAAAACACATTTCTCATCCTTGATGTTAACCATGTAATAATTATGTTCCCACTAGGGAATATTAGTTTTCCTGATCCACTGATGACTGAACTCTCCTTCCACTTTCCAATGCATGGTGCTAGCATATACCTTCCAGAACCTCAACCCATGAATAAGTCAAGCTTTCTCTTTGGTGGTTCTAACGCAGCACAAAGCTGACTCGAGCACAGCCATTGTAACAATGCATATACTGACTTACCATAATTTCTGGACCAAAACAAAGAAATCAGGAATCCCATAACCATGTTTAAAACATTCAGTGATAAAGTAAGTAGAAAATTTCCTTTGGTTGTTCCAACACTGTGCAAGGTTGATTTGAGCTTGGCCATGAATACAATACTTATGTTTACCTACCCTAACTTCTGTACCAGAAAGAGAAAGGATACACTCAAGAGCCATAGTGAACTTTGTTTCACTACAGTTACCATAAAAAAGAATAAACAGTCCATGGTTGAAACTAAAGTTTTTGTATGCTTCTATCTTAATTGTCTACATATATTTACATGTACATTCACCTAAAATACACGCAACCTTTTAACTTGCACAAGGGTGAGGAATTCAATACTGGTGGTCAGTGATGTGCAGAGGTTTGGTGAGACCCAGGGCCAACTCATTGATTATATAGTCCTAAGACTCAGGAAGGGGGTGCCTAAAAAGCCTAGTACTGAGAAATGTGCGAAAGGAAGACATTTTTAATTATATAAAAATGGATGAAACATGAAATAAACACTTTATTCAGATTAAATATAAACTAAATTTTTATCTGACTCTTTGATTGGATGCCCTCCTGATATGGATGCCCAGGGATGTTGCACCCTCTGCAACCTACTGCTGGTGGTGGTGATCACAAATGACAGCGTTTTTTTTTTTTTTTTTGGGGTAAGTATAAATTAAGAATCAAGAGACATCTTTTTGATTGTGAAGTAGGAAAAGAGATGGACTGTAAAAGGCTAGCAATCCATGTCCCAGACAGAGATAGAGACAAAATATATGATGAGAATTCATTAAATTCTCATGGAGAACAAATTTGAGAGAAACGTGGGTGGGCCCAAGTTTTATTTTTATGCCCTTGAACTATAGGGTGACATTTTTTTTTTTTTCCTCCCCATATTCTATGTTAATATATACTTTTTTAAAAAAATTTCTCTTGGAACCATAATAAAATTTTATAATTCCTAAAAATTATTTATTTATTTTACTTTGAGGAGGTTTGTTGGAATGGTTTATTCTGGGATCTTTGGTTAGGTGGTTCTTAACTCTTTGGGGGTCTCTCTTTCAGGGTCCTTGACAAAGATGATCATTCTGTAAAGGGGTGTGGTCCGATTCAGGATCTATATGATCTATTTGCAAGATGTTAGCTTTGTAGGTGATTTGGGAGTTTTGTGAAAGTGGCTTCCTGATTGTTGGTGATGTTCTTTGTTCAGTTTCTTTTTTTCATTAATCCACTTTGCTGGAATGGTTTGTTATTCTGGAGAGATTAGCAGAAGACAGGATTTCAGTTTTTCTATTTTTTTTTTTTTTTTTTTACTAATTGTTCACCCAATGGAAGGTCCAAGAGCCTCTCAAGGTAGAGGGTTGCTGAATGAGGTTGTTGTAAGAAATGCAGATTATAAGGATATGAAGGAAAGATAATAATTAATGCTAGACATGAAGATCTTGAGACAACTGATGAAGCATTCTCTCAGGTGTTGGTTCCAAAAAGTAGTGGTTTTTCAGAAGTTGTCGTCTGAATGGAACTTCCTTCTTACTAATGGAATATGAAGGGAACAGGGAGGATTTGTCCCATGTACATGGCATGGTGGATCCTAGCTGTGAAGGTCTGAACTGGTGGAATTAGGGAATGTAATTTGTCAGAACATTTTCCATGGAAATAGTGACTAAGTCGTGAGTGGCTTGTAATTTAATTTGACCAATCAACCTGTTCTAGTTTTAGTAGTCTTGAGAGGTTACTAATGAGTACTTTGTATTTATTCAGTTGACTGGTGCTGGGTTTAGTTGATAACACTTGCACAATATTTTTGTTTCTGCTGTCCTTCATGACTCTAGGAATACTAGGTTTCTTTTGTATTTCACCTCCATGATTCCCTTTTCTATTCTCCAGATTTAAGCTTTACTTGTACTTCTTCTAATCCCTAATCAGCAGGAATCTGGTGTTTTAAAAAATTTGTTTTATGGAATAAAGTGTGGAAATGTTCATGATGGAAGAGAAAGGAAAGGAAATGATTAAGAATTTTCATAAAATAATAAGTTTATTTTGAAAAAATATTATTTCAAGAAAAAACTATACAAGATTGATAAAAAGAGATAGATGGAAAGATGGATAGAAAATATCTATGGATGTTCCTTATATAAAAAGTAATGACAAAGATATATTTTATGTTTTTTTTTTTAGTTGACATGTGGGAGCACAAAGTTTTAGTGAAATATCTTCCTTATAGGTTCATATTTTTATCAGCATTGTTATTATTATGGCAGCTATTATTGTTATTTTTATTTAATACTTTTCATATTATATTCTCACATAAACTTACATATACACTCTTAACACACTAATGTGACTAAAAAGATATAGTGATAAAAACTTTGCCGTCTCACATCTTCTCACATAGTTAACTGGAATGAGAGATTACAGCAAAGGATGAGGAAGAGGCAATAAAAATCTTTATCAGGTGCAGTGACAAAATGATTGGTGATTCTCAACACTGAGGCCATTAATGTTGGCTGGATCTGAAATTTAGCCAAGTTCAAAATATGAAGACTGCAGGAGTAGCCAAAAATTTTGTAATTTCCCCCAAATCTTATTGTCTGCCCACATATCAACTATATAGAAAACATAAAAGAATATGTTTGTTATTTTTTCATAAAAATAGGTCTGATGTTTATCCTGATTGTATCTATATTAGTAATGGCTGAGTAGTTCGATATATACATGTGTATGTGTGTGTGTGTGCGCGGAGGAAGGTTATATAACTGACAGGGCTTAAAATAACTCGCTGACTGATTGGATCAGGTTTCCTTGACTTTTACTGTGGAGTAAAGCCCAAAGTTGAGTGTTGCAGGTCACCTGTTCACTCAATCTCTCATGGGCCACTCACCCACTGGGACACCATACTCAGGCATCACAGATCAACACCTATAGTCAATATGTGGCTCCTTCTGAGGTAAGAGAAGTTTTACCTCTCTGTAAGGGATGCAGTAAGCATATTTTAAGCCCTGCTGACAGGGCAATTGCTGCATATGTTTAAGAAGAGACTGGGTCATAGATATGTATGCTCAACTGATATATAGAAGTTATGTGGGAAGTATAAGGAAATGGAATCAATGCTTATTTTCCCTAGATACCCTCGGAAAAGGCATGGATCCATATCTCCCCACAATCTACCCAATTACAAATTATCTTGTCACTGGTGTATCATGATGGGTGACAGAGCACTTGGGTAAATTACTCTCTCATACATAGCTTAACTATCAGTAGCAGTAGATAAGCTGTTACCCTCATAGTCAACCATGACAATGACAAATCAGCTCTTATTTGTCTATATTTCTGAGATGAGGTATTATGTACGCTATTTACATTATTTGGACTATTGTCCTCATCTATGTTGCCATATTTATCACAATGTTTCAGCCATTCTATGCCACCCTTCTTCAGGTGGTTGGAATGTTGAACTGAACCCTTTATTTTGCTCACTGGGGTAGACTGCTCTAGTTCCACATGCCATGTCTAATGGATGTCAGTTATCATTTATCTCCTGTTAATTCACCTCTCCAAGTTCTCCACTGCCTTAACCAGGCATTGAACTCACAACTCTTTGGGTCCTGTCACTGGATCTAACCAACGCCTTTATCCACTGTTCAAGGGAGTGGAGAACTTGGAGATGGGAATTAACAGGATATAAATGATAAGTGACATCCATTAGGCATGGCATGTGGAACTAGAACAATCTGCCCTAGTGAGTGAAATAAAGGGTTCAGTTCGACATTTCAACCATCTAAAAAATGCCAGAGCATACAACGGTTGAAACGTTGTGATAAATAAGGCAACAAAGAGGAGGATGATAGTCTGAAAAAAACCATGTCAGAGAGAAAATAATTTTCTAGTCAATGATTGGTGTCGGCTTATGGCCATAACATGTTGAAACATTGGTTCTTGTCTGATCAAAAATTTAAGTAATTTTGAGTCTGATCAGTATTCAGATGGGTGACTGCTGAAGAATACTGGGTGCTGTAAACTATGTGACAGGCCTAGCAAGCTGTGGATGGATACAATCTTGCCACTTATACTAACAGAAGAACTCTATAGAATTGCTTCTGGAATGACAGGTTGCAAAACATCCCTGAAGTCGAGTGAGAGTGATTTTTGGAATTTAGATAACAAACAAAATGTGAAAGTGTTCCTTTTCTTTTACCTCTGTTCGGTGTACAACTTGTGAGGATCCATCAGTATTTTTCTTGGAAAACTCCAAAAAAGGATCAGATTTACCCAAAAAATCCTGAAAGAGAAGGAAAGAATAAAATCAAGAAAAAAAACTCTCATTAACACTTCTGTTATAGACACACATAAAATATATATATATATATATATATAAATTAATTGATTTAATTTAAATATGGTTTTTAAATACACAGTTCCAAACCATGTTTCAAAAAAACAGAAGCTAAAACCCCGAATTTAATGGTTGGAACTGTGTAGCGAAAAAAAACATTTTTAAATCAATTAATTTATAATATTAATGCTCTGTAAATTTACATTGAGCACTATTTTGTAAAAATAAAAATATCTATAAGAACACCGGATTTTATATCTTACTGTTCTTTCTTTTTATTTTTTATTATATATATATATATATATATATATATATATATATATATATATATATATATATATATATATATATATATATTATATATATATATATATATATATATATATATATATATATATATATATATATATATATATATATATATATATATATATATATATATATATATATATATATATATATATATATATATATATATATATATATATATATATATATATATATATATATATATATATATATATATATATATATATATATATATATATATATATATATATATATATATATATATATATATATATATATATATATATACATGCACACACACACACACACACACACACACACACACTGCATTTTCAAGATATATTTATGTCTTTACAATACTAATGTAGAGGTGATGTTTTTGATAAAATTTAATTTCGGCATTAAATGACCTCTAGAATTTATATTTAATACAAAATATGAAACAATAAGAAGGAACACAAATGGTTTTATAACAAAGTAATCTTCATTTTTATATTTAAGTATGTAATGATGTACAAGCATAAGGGTTACTTCCCTTTGACTGGAATTAAAGTCTTTACTAATAAAATATATTTATCTGAGCTCATAAAGAGTTGAATGAACTTGCCGCTCAAAATGTTCACTGCGAGAGAGTTGAAAGAATTCTGTAAAGCTGAAAATATGTTGATGAACTTTTGGCTTCAGAAGAGTTGAAGGAGTGAATGTTCTGTAATGTTTGTAATTAAGTTTCTGTTACTTGTTGTTGAATATTCGTAATATGTTAGTTTGTAATATTCTGTAATGTTCGTAATGTCGTAATTAAGTTTTATACATATGCGTATGTGTGCATGTCTGAATATGTTTTCATAGTGTCCACCTGCAAGGGGTCAGAATGCGATTTCTTAAACAGCTACATTTTCATAAGTGAGAGAAATCAAAAACAAAAGAAGAGAGAAAATGAACTTGTTTCTGGTATTTATAATCAATGTAATCACATGATTGGCTCTAGAGAAAAAGAAGTGCAAAATTTTGACCTGGTCACACGCTGGAAAAAGACTTGTGCATAGGTGAATCGCAACACCCACTTGTGTGTTTATTGACCAATTAGAAGTTGAGGTTTTCTGAAAATATGTATGAAGCTGGATAAGCTCTGTGATCTGCTTTTTGCACAAAAACCAACATTGATAAAAAAGTGGTAGGCTATACTGGCATTGCCTGCAGTTGATATGTATGTATATATATATATATATATATATATATATATATATATATATATATATATATATATATATATATATATATTATGTATGCACCTATTATGTATGAGTTTGTTTGTGTGTATGTATGGGTATGGAAACTTTGGTATATCATGACTGTTTTATATATGTAAGTATGTGTGCATAAAAGTCTGTGTGTATATATATGTGTGTGTATTTAGGTTCATATGTATATGTGCGTGCATGTGTACTTGTTATCATAGATATGTATATGTGCGTATATGGTTATGTTTATATATTTATTTGTATGTATTTCTGTATGTATATGTATGTATGAGTGTATATTTATGTGTGTTAATTTGTTTTTTTGCTGTATATATATATATATATATATATATATATATATATATATATATATATATATATTTTGTGGGTTTCTTTATCCTGTTTTTATTTGCCCAATATATAATGAAACTATTATGAACTTATATGATTAATATATATTTTTATTGATATTTATGGTTTTAGAATTTTCGTTTTAATATATTAAATAATATTATTTTTAACCATTTTTATCTTTGTATATTTGCTCCCTTAAGTTATAATTCAATAAGTGGTTAGCATTTATTTAAGCCTGAAATATTTATTGGTTGTGATTTCTCATTGTCTATGTCATTGTCTGTGGATGTATGTATGTGTATATATCGGTGTCTATGTGTATGTAGAGTGTATTCACATTTAACTGTGTGTGTGTATAAGTGTTAGTTTCCACGTCTCCTTTTTGCATAAAGGGCTGTAGAGATGTTCATGTATCCCGCCCACCTTCTTTCATTTTTTTTTTTTTTTTGTGTGTGTGTGTGTATGTGTGTGTGTGTGTATGTGTGTGTGTGTATATCTAATTATGTCTGGGTGCTTATGTATTATAATCTGATTGTGTTCTTGTTGTTTTTTACGTGAGTTTAAGACCACATTCACAAACTTTAAAATAAAAACGGAAAAAAAGGGAAAAAAAAAAATATATATACATGTATTGTCAAATGACCGGATGTATTGTAGCGTCTTGTCTTGTTGAACGTAATTTCAATGAAGAAATGAATTGAATAAACATATATATTTTTTTCTTTTCTCAATAATTTTGTAGTTTTTAAACTTAATAGTGATTAAATTTGGATTTTAAAATTGCCAGTTTTAATTTTAATATTAAATTTTATCATATAATTTTATAATTATTAGTTAGTATAAATTATTTTTAATATTACACGTATTTAAAGATCTGAATAGCTATTATAGCATGATTTCGTTGTCAAGCTTTTTGAATCTTTCTATACTTCATTTTTTGATTGGTTATTCTAGCTTTTGTAACAATGTTTCCCCCTAGTGTAGGATCGTTAATTAATCTGAAACTTTTAAAACCATTTATTTTATTTTCAACATCATCACTTGATAAGACACAGTGTTGAAACAAAATGGCTATTTTTGTAGTGATTTTATAACATACTTATGTTATAATTTTTTTATAAAAAATAATTATATATATATATATATATATATATATATATAATGAATGGATTTTTTAAATTTTTAATCTGAGATTATTTTTTGTTACTTTAAACATATTTTAGTGGATACATGGGTCTGAGTAGACATCCAGTATTTTTTAAAACAGTATGAATGTCATATACTGTCCTGTATTTTTAGGAATTTTAATAAAGAAAACAGGCTTTCCAGCAGGGTTTGAACTTGTGCTATCCTTTGCAGGAGGAAACCAGTCTGCTTAAAAGGGTAACTGAACTTTACTAGGCAGTGAAGCCTTTTCTAAAGATATTTCTGTTTGTTATCTAGAGATCATTTGAAGTAAAAGAATAAGGAATTTAAGAAGAAAATAAAGTCTATCATATTTTCTACCACATAAGGCACAGTTTTTTTTCTGAACAGAAAAAAAACCAAACTCCTGTGGATATCACCCTACATCTTATACTGTGATGTTTAAATTATTGATGCTAGACAAACTCCTAAAAACTTGTGTTTGACACACTAATCGTCTGATGATCACAAGGTTGATATATTATTTTATGTATCAATGACTGAATTATTTAAAAATTACTTTTTAAAAATATTAATGGTAAATATTTTTCTTAAATGTAACCCATTCTTGATGAAATTTCAGTAAAATTTTACTTAAGTAAGTAGTAATTGCAATTTACAAGACAATTCTCTGAAGAATTAAAATTGTTTGGGATATTTTTTTTAAAGCAAGCAAGGTGATGAAGCCACCAAAATTCTAGAGGTTGCTGAGAGTGAAAGAATCTGAGAAAAAACATTATTGGGGAAAGAGGACAATAAAAGAACAGGTTTCAAAAGGACAGAAGCTGAAGAATTTTTAAGATCATAATTAACAAGAAGGCAAAAAGCAGCAAGAGAGTTCTACAAGAGAAGAAACAGTTAGCATAGAACTTATGGTTACATCTACCAATTTCAAAATTAAAGTCAGAGAACCAAGCTGCCAATCAAGTAATGTGAAAAATTTAATAAAAATACAGTCAGCAAAATACAATAGATGTGAGCGTAATGCAACAGATATCGGCATGGAAAGTGAAACAGATGAGCCAAGTTCAAATTCCAGGCTAGTCTGCTTCATTCACTTTTTTACTACACCCTTGGGAAAGGCAAGAATCCATCATTCTCTCCAGATAGGGTTGGCTAGACTGGACACTCTAGTCTGGGGTGCTAACCAGTCTAAGACCGAATTCCAAATGATGGGGAAGGCAATGGGAAACTACTCCATTATCTTTCCCAAGAATGCACAGCAATTTCCAGATAATAAAGAAAAAGAATCCGTGGAGGGACATGATGTTAAAAGAAACTGTTTTATATCTGTCTATATCTCTCTGAGATGAGGTATTATGATTAGTTACATCATTTATATTACTCGGACTGTTATCCTCATCTTCATTGCTATATTCACAACGTTTCGGCCATTGTATGCTCCTGTCTTCTTCTTGGAGAGTTGAGTTAAAGGGAAATAACTGAGACATCTGGAAGAGACATGGCACATGGAACTAGAACAATCTACCCAAATGGACAAAATAAAGGGTTTGATTTGAAATTCCAATCACCTGAAGAAGGCCAGGTGTGCTTACATTATTTACAATTTGTACTTACATTATTTGGAAAATAATGTAAGTACAAATTGTTTTATCTGGTGACTTTTATTTTATAGTAATAATATGCAATACCAATAAAATAAAGTAACTGATTTTTAGAGTTTTTCTATTGAATATTTTTTGTAGCATGTTATTATGATTAAAAAAAATTTTCAATAGAAAAACTTTAAAAATCAGTTAATCCTTCACTAACAACATATATAATATCATTAACTCACACAACAACCTATTATTAAAAACATTTTATGACAGCAACACACCAGAAAACAAGTCACCTTGTAATTGTAGAACCAGAACTAGCTGTCCAGTTAGCGGTATCTGCAATTCAGAAAAAGTGGTATACCAAGCTACCATTTTTCCAAAAGAAAATAATCAATGAAAAAAAGTATACATAGGGATATCAGCTAGCAGTTAAAAACAGAGACTTTACAATCACTGGCATTCCTTCTCCAATGCTTCTTTAAGATATGAAACTGTTCTATCCAAAAATTATTGGAAACTTAAAGATGGTGGCTTCATCCCCACAAATTAAATGAGATATCATCTGTCACTTTCAGACTCCCAACAACTTCCAAAATCAAAAGAACAGACTTATCTTCAAGTGTAGACCAAAGAACAAATTTAAAATTCTCTAAAAACATTGATTTTGTTGAAGTGTTAATTCTGTTTTATATGGATACTAACATGTATGCGTACGTGTTTTCACATTATTGTATATGGTCATTTACATGATTGCCTTGCCTACATCATTTATAGTTTTAAATTATTATTTTTATATTAATATTTTTGATACTATCTTTATTATTTTTATAATGTTTATCTGTATCTATATTTTTTTAAATTGTTTTTTAAATTTTTTCTTTATTTATCTCTTGATTTGTTTATTTTTTATTTAATTTACTTTAATTTATTGGTGTCAGATATTATTATTAATTTGAAATTGTGATGATTATATGTGAAGATGAGTTTTTCTGAAATGACTGTATCTATTTTAATTCTGATCACCCCTCCCTTACTCTATATATTACCATCTTTCTTTCCCTCTCTTTCTCCCTCCCCTAAATTTAAAAAAAAAAAAAAAAAAAAAAATTATATTTGTCTTTCTTCCTCTTTTATTATAAAAAATTTTCCTTTCTTTTTTTTTTTTTCCTCTACCTTTTCTTTTTGTCTAGACAATAGGATTTCATTTCTAAAAAAACCTTCGGTTTGAAGAGATGAATATTTGAATAAATATATTCATGAAATAAATTACAACCAAAATGGATTTTTAAGGATTTTCTTTACTTATTATTATTATTATATAATATTGCTCCGTTACTTACATTGAGCTTTCTTTGGGTTAATGTCCTCCTTGGAATTATCCTTTCAATTACCAATTGGTATTTTATATATATATATATATATATATATATATATATATATATATATAAAATATATATATATATAAAATATATATATATATATATATATATATATATATATATATATATATAAAATATATATATATATATATATATATATATAATATATATAATATATATATATATATATATATAAAATATATATATATATATATATAATATATATAATAATATATAATATATATATATAATATATATAATATATATATATATATGTACACACACACACTTTCATATTCCTTACCTTATTATCCAACTTCTTTGCACAAATAGACAACTGAACCAATTCATTCTTGTTAGAAAGCTCCTCTGCTGTCACCTAAAAAAGAAAATAACATCACAAAAGAATAAGTATTTTGTAATCATAAAAGAAAATTCAATCAAAACTATCTTGGCACTCAAGGGAAATAACTCTTTCTTACAATATCTACAGCACTGTTTTTCATCTTGCCTCTGTTCACCTACTAAGTATCTCTTCTAACACCAGATGGTTTAGGCAAAAGCTAGCACAATATTTATCAATAAATATGAAGCAAAACTTTTTAACCATCATTTTCATTGCCTCTTTTTAAATTTGGCTGGCAAACCAGGAGACTATAATAATGAAAAAAAAAAGTTCATTATTGGTCATATTTAAGTAATAAATCTCTGAATTTGATGGTATACAAGATCCTACACCTGTCCATTAACTATTTATATTTAATATTACAGTATTATGGAGGTAGGTCAAAATACTAACAGTATTTGGAAAACTACTAGTATTTGGAATAGACCTCAAGATCCAGGAGAAATTTTAGCCATTTTTATATGGAAAAAAAGAGAGAGAGAAAATAATCATTTTTTTCCTTTTATTACCTCATCAAAAAGTAAAAAAAAAAAAAAAAAAAAATTAAGTATTTATTGCTATATTCACAATTGTAGATTACCAGAACCCTGATAGTTTGAGAAGATGGAAATGTAAGGGTAATAATTGAATAAAAATATTTATTAACGGCAATAGAATAGTTATGTAGGAAAAAATTTGTTGGCCAGAGTTTAAAAAAGAAATAAAATAAGAAAAAAAGTCATGAAAAATCTGTGGTGAGTGCAAAAATTTTATTAAAGCTTTCAAAGTGGACATTTTAAATGTATATATAAATATAGACAAAAATATAAAACAAAAGTGTGTAGTGGGGAGCAAGGATAACAAAAAAAATGACTCATGATAAATCATCTTAGAAAAGTGTCCAATCTATTTGTGGTTACTGTGGATTTGCAAAGTTAGCTCTAGATTTGTTAGAAAATGTTCAGCTTTGCTATTTTTCTGCCAATCCATGATCTGTTTTCACTTCCCAACCTTCATCTGCATCGATGTTCTACCCTCATTCTTAATGTGTTAGTTCAATTATTTATAATTACAACTGTCAGTGTGATGCTGAATATATTCATAGAACTAATAAGATTTTTGAGATGAGGGTTGATAGTGTAGAAATTTGTGAATACTTCTGGTTTTGCTATTACAAAAACAATAAATAATTTGATCTCTGCCTCATCTTTCTTCAGGTATTTTTCTGCTATAATAAAAGAGCATTCAGATTACCATCTGAATATTCTTGAGACCATTTATATTAAGTCAAATCAGCCTTCCCTCTGTAATCAGAAGGAATAGCTGCTGGATCTACAGGGTGCAATGGATAAATTGCCATGTAAATTACACAAAAATGAAAATAACACTAACATTTTATTTTAACAGATGTATTTACCAAAATTGCACAAAAATATCTTGAAATACTAAAGAGTAAATTCATTCAATAAAAATTGCTATTGGCCCAAACCATAGCCTCTAGAAGACTTCAGAATCTCCTACAACTCTTCTGGATGGTCTTCATAATTTGGTGAATGCTGCCATGATCCTTGCCTTCAGTTCATCTTTGGTGTTACAAAGAATTTTGTTGTTTCTTGTTCAACTGCTCCACACACATAATAATAAAAGGGGTTGCAGTCTTGGGAGTTAGCTGAACAGATGGTAGAGATGATGTGGTTGCAGAAATTGTTCGACAGCCATGACTAGGTTCTCCTGCTTGTGTGGCATGGTGCAGAGCCCTGTTGCCAGTGATAGTGTCTTCCAGCCACCCACTTGACCCAGGGTATCACTACTTCCTCAAGGCACTTGATGTAGGTCTCAGTGTTGAATCTGAGGTTCACACCAACAAATTCAGGAGTTCTTTTCTTATCAGAATGAGTTTTCCAAGCTGCTGTACCTTTGCAATCACCATTAAACTCACCCAACTCTTTTCAATTTCTCTGTACTGTTGTCTGACACCCAAACACTCTGAAATGTTCATATTGGAGCTTCTGGTGTGAATGCTAAGCAGTACAGCATGCCGTTTCCAAATTTCTGGGGGAGTGAATTGCATCATGATACTCTTTTTCTCACAGATGGTGCCCAACTGACCCTACTATAATCTGCAGTAGGCAAAATCAAAAACAAACAATGTATGTGACTTGTATCACTAAATCATTATTATCTCAAAAATAATTCTTACAATCTCAAATTATTTTTTGGCTTTAAATAACCTGCAAAGTGGTGATAAGCCATAAAAAATGAATGAATCAATCAATAATTCTGAGGGTGGGTCCAGAATTTTGTTTATTTCAGGTTTTGCTTCATCTCCTAAAATGGTTTTTGTTGTGGAGTAAACAGTACACTCTCAGTGACTATATGAACTAGTCCATTACTATAAAGAGCTCCAGGTCAGAGGTTAGACTGATAGCCATTTGCAGTCAGTGTTCAAACTAATACAGGCATCATGGCAAGTAGCTGAAGCATAACGTAGAGAGAATCCTTATATGAAGTACATTATATAAGTAAGAGTGTGTTATAATAATAGCAATGGCAATAGCGGTGACGAGGGATTTGAAACTCAGGACTTACGATGGCTGTGTCAAGGATTTAGAACTCTTATGATTTATAACATTAACAAGGATCAGGAACTCATACTAGTTGTAATTAGAGTTACAAGAATTACAACCACATTGGTTTAAAAAAAAAAAAAAAAAAAAAAAAAAATATTCTTGTGAATATGGAGAAAATTTTAGCTTCCATAGTTGAAATTTGACAACAACAACAGAAACAAAATCAACAATTACTAGAGTTACAAAAACAGCATCAGGAGTTGTTGGATATAATTCTGAAGAAAATAATAAATTTTTCAATGTCTCTTATGCCAGATGCTGTCCAAAACACCATATCAGAATTTATATACAATCCTTATAAGGGACTGACTTTTTCTGTGTATTTTCATACATATGAACAAATATTCAGTCAAGAATGCAGTGGCTGGAAAGATGAGGCAAAAACCAGATTTTTGTTGAGGAAAATAGTGCCAATAAAGTATGAAAAATACTACAATTACATTTTACTGAGAAAACCAGATGAAATCAGATTTGAAGTTACGGTACACATTCAGGCAAAAATCTTTAGTGACAAGAGCTCTCTGTTCAATGCTTGTTGGAGGTGCTTGAATCTAACCAAAAAAGAGGATGAAGTTGTTTTCTTGTATGCTGGTATCATCAATAAAGAATGTGAAAGATTTAGAATAAACGAAATGACTCCAGATATGTTCAAAAGATTAATTTTCATGCAAAGTTTAACAGCTAAAAAAGATATTGAAAAACGAACAAAAATTTTAACAAAAATTGAACAAAACAATAATACTACAAGCAAGAAATAGTGGATGATTGTCAGACAATGCTAAATCTGAAACATGATACTGAAGAAATTCAGGAAAAAGAATGTGCATTGGTACAAGCAAAGGACAAATATACAAAAAGGAGAATAAATGTGGCAAATTGCATCTTGGAAAAACTGTCCATTTAAAAATTCAGAATGTTACAAGTGTGGTAAATGAAGACATTTAAAATCACACTGCAAAACCAAACCAAGAAAAATTTCTCACAGGATGAAATTAGTACACAGAATAGCAATGGATAAAGTGGTAACAGAAAACAAAGGAAAATTTGTAAATGTGAAAACAAATAATGTGGATATGAAAATGCTACTGGACACTGGTACTGATATTTCAATAATCAGTGTAACCACATGGAAGGAAATTGAAAAATCTTTATTAAAAAGGACTTCTAAAGTTGTGATTTCAGTTTCTGGTGAGAAATTATTGTTGGGGGCAGAAATAATTTTCAATGTATTTTTCATAATAAGCATGTAAAAACTAAAGCTTATGTATTAAAAAATACAACAAATTTCTTTGGACAATGGACTGAATAGAACTATTTGAACTTTGTGATTTGCCTATAAATGTTTATTATAAAAACATAAGTGGACGACAAGTGAACAGTTTAAAAAGTCAGAGTAAAAATCTTAAGGAAGAATTAAAAAAATGTTTTCCTGATATTCTGTCAAATGAACTGGGTTAATGTTCAAAATTCAAGGCAGATTTTGAAGTGAAAAAAAAAAAAAAAAAAGGCTTGATGCCAGTATTTAAGCTGAAACGAAGCATGTCATTCACAGTATTAGAACAAGTTAATAAAGAGTTGGACAGACACCAGAAAAAATTGGGTAATAGAAAAAATTAATAATTCAAAATGGGCTGAACCAGAGGTGTATGTAAAGAATTTGTGTTTGTGCAGATTTTTGACTGGATTAAACAGTTGTTTACAAATACATAACTACCCATTACTAAGTCCAGAAGAAGTTTTTTTCAAAGTTGAATGGTGTGAAGAATATTTTCAAAGTTGGATCTCTCTAAAGAATCTTTACAAATTCAGATTGAAAATAAATGTTCTGAATTAATGACAATAAATACGCACAGAAGATTATACAAGTTTAACTGACTTTCTTTTGGTATAAATGTGGCACCAACTATTTTTCAACAAGCCATGGATACCATGCTTGCAGGTTGTGACTTTGCAGTGGTGTATCTTGATGACATTTTGATCAAGAGCGTATTGAAAGAACAACATGTTGGGCATGTTGTGAAAACTAAGAGAATACAGATTCAAGCTTAGTGAAGAAAAATGTGAACCTTCTTTGTTGAAAATTAAATACCCTGGTCAAATTATTGATGAAAATGGTAGACAACCAGATCCATCAAGGGCAACTGCAATTAAAAATATACCTACATAATTAAATGTGACTATGTTACAAGCTTTTTTTAGGACAGGCTAATTACTATCAAATTTATGTACATAATATGCATAAATTAAGGGATCCACTTAACAGTCTACTTAAAAAAAGGAGTAAAGTGAAATTGGAATAATAAATGTCAAAAGTCATTTGATGAAATAAAAAAAAAACTTATGCCAGATTTATCATTAACAGAC